TTATATATGTTGGTAGCAAACTTTTTTCTCAGAGGGGCTTGTGCCTAACTGATGACAGTGTTTCGTGGGAAATACTGAGTCAACCTACTCGATGCCATTTTTTTATTTTACTGGACAGGTTGAACCTTGATATTGACATTTAAGAATGAAACACTAATTGTTCAAATGTTACGGTTAGCCCGACAGTACCTCTATCCATCAATACAATTTTCTTTTCTTTTGTCTAACGGCTAACAGACGAAAGTTCAAATCGCAGAACCAAAAACCGCACCAAGCAGACACTCATTATGGATGCTGTGGCTTCTCCGTGACGTCGCGTGATCACTAAATGCTGCATTTTGCTCATTGAAAATGAAAGTGTGCTGAATCCAAAAAGATGATTTTCCGGTAAAAATGTTTATTTATTGTTTATGAAAGAAATGTATTATTATCATTTTATTATTAGTGAGTTTCAGCCCATTGCGCAAACCATCCTGTCGGATGAACCCATTTCGTAAATGCTAACACGGAACTACCCAACTAACAATTATCACTCCTATTAGAGTTGCAAGAATGATTATACAGTATTCCCTAAACAGCATTGTATACTGTAAGAACATTGGCAAAACCCTCTTAAAACAGCTATACAAGCGGAATGGGCACACCTAATAGGACACTTCAGTCATTTAAGAGGTTAAATAAGGGCTGCAGGTAACAGTTATAAAACAAAAGTGTAAGCCTCTTGCAGCCGCTATAGGACATTTGCTTCAGTGCAAGATTCAGTTTTTGTCAACTATACAACTATTCTGTTACATGATTCCACTTTATTGCAACCAAACTATTTCTTATGTATTGTATAGACGAAGTGAAGAATATATAACTAACACATTACAGTCATCTTGTATAGGTACTTATATATCGGCCATTGTGAATTTCATACACAGGTATATGATAAACTTCTTCTACACTGTGATATAGGGCTATTGAATTACTTGCCCAGCAAATTTTATTGTGATTATCGTGCAGATTAGTTACCCAATTTCTACGGACTTCGTATTTGATTCATATTTTGACAATGATCAAAAGTATGTCTAGATTTTTAAGATGGAAAACTGAACTTATCTGCGTTAAATCTTCCACAAATCCTATATTTAGACACAATTACACTAATGCTTATCACTTTATACCTGTAATTTCGAACTGAAACATAATTATTTAATATTAAATAGAGGAATAAATGTTTGCCCAATATGGCGGGTGGTTGTGTACAATCATGGCATCGTCCATGTTGTCTTTAGGTTATTAGAATATTTTGGTGTTGCCTGCAGGAGTGATACAACAATTTGACAAATGTCAGAAATGAAATACCGACAGAGTCGAATGATTTACCCAGAATTTGTACCAGATCTATATCTTCTGTTTGAACAGTTGATAAAACCTTTTGAACCAATATGCATGCGTTGTTTGTCGTAAAACATTGATTATGGCATATTACAAAAATATGACAGCAGAAAGTTAGGTTATGGTGAAGTTGTTTACCAACATATTTAGGATATGTATAGCCTTAAACAGTTACTAAATAACAGTTGTATAAGTACTTCCGTTGGGAGCAATTTGTTGGCTAAAGTAGTAAATTGCACAGCAGAACAACAAGTCTCGGGTTCGTTTTATAAACGTTACCATGGATGCCACAACACAACCATTTTGACTAACGTGCAAATATGCCGTATAAAATAGTTGTATAAACGTTTATGCAACAGTTAAAAATTTGCCCTATAAGGTGTTGTATAACTATGCTATAAGAACATTTTAAACACTTCATTTTAGAGCAAATATGTTGCAGAAAGCAAATCTGCATTCCACACAACATTAAGCCAGCATTTTGGTGTTCAGGCAACAACAATAGAGAGCTTTTATGGCTGAACGGTTCTTTTACCAAAAGCCTATACCACTACTTTGCTAGTTGGGTACTTTCTTGGCACCTCATAAATGAGATTTTAGCTTTCGATGTCAACATAATCGCTACTTCAAATTTCAAGCTTACTCGTTGTACCTAACCCAATGTTCCTTCGGGGGTTCATAAGAAATTCTAAATATTTGCAGTATGAGTTACCCACACAGAAAATGACTATGTTTGTATACCCGATACATGTATCGCGTTTATCAAAATAATTTAAAATTGGTACGGATATGGAAATCATTGACGTCATAGAGACTGATAAAATGCAAAAAACATAAAAAGAAGTACCTAAATGGGTACTATTTCACATAACAATTTGTCATTGTTCAATTTATGCTATCCGCGGCTTATCTGTAACTTTGGCTGCCTGTTGTTATTTATCCAAGAACTATTATATGTTAGAAATGAAATGAAAAAGGCAATGTGTAAAGTATTTTCCAGATAATATTTTATGCTATGATCGCAAATTGTGGGAAGGGTCGCTAGGACAGAGACAAAAGTTCTAAATCGTAACTTTGTCAAGTAGGTGGGGCCAGGGAACTAATTGTACGGGGTTTTTTTACGCAGGGAGAAGCTTAAATGCCAGTGCACGGCGGCTGCTATGAGGAGCTTTGTTAATCCAAGTTTTGAGCTGCCCAAGGTTACTAGAACTGGGAAAAGCCGCCTCAAGTAGACTGTTTCACAAACTCGATACACTGGGTCAAAGGAGCGGTCGTATCGGCTAATTCTGGATGTAGGAAGTTCGAGATGGCTAGCTCCTCGCTGATCTGGACTGCGATCTTCCATCTTCCTTCTTGCTCGTCAAGGTACAGCGCTGTGTTTAGGAAGCATTAAGCTGTACAAGATTGTTGCGTCACCAAACAGTGATAACCTCCAGAGAGGAAGTTGCTGCTGGTCTTCTTTTCTCCAGTTCACCGGCAAACATGGGCTTGCCAGTCTGAATTCCTGCATCTGGAGTGCTGTCATCAGCAAAGCTGTGGATTGGATTGATCGCACATTAATAGAGATCGTTGATATGTAAGAGGAGCAATGTCCCTGGGAACACCCGCGTTAACGTTGCGAGATGAAGAGGAGAACCCGTCATTTTCGACGGATATCTTGCGGTCAGAAAGGTAGTCAGCCACGCATCTGCAAAGATTCTCTGGGAGGCCATATGCTGGAGGTTTTTGTGATATCAGGAGCAACGACATGAGCCTCACCATAAAGATTGGATGAGTTTACTCCATAGTTGCGTGACGTAAACTAGGAGGTCCCCTGTGGATCGCTGGTGCCGGAAACCATACAGGTACTGCCTGTCGCTAATGAAGCCGTGACATTCGAGGTACTCCGGAAGCTCCCGATGTATGCGCCTCTCCATCACCTTACTTATAAAAGAAATCACAACTATATGCCTGTAGTTGTTAGGGTCGCTCTATTAAACTTGAACCATTTAAATCTTCTCTTATATACGTGCATGTGTGTATAACTGATGGGGGGCGCTGACTTGTACCCAATATAATTTTCTATGAAATGGTGACAGTGTATTGCGTGGGAAGTGCAGAGTCAACCCTTTTCACGCTATTATTAGGTGGATTCAATTTATAGTCCACCTGTTCGTTGTAAACATGTACCATTATCTTGAATATCCTATAAAACTTTACAGTCATCTGGCAAATTTTATTTTAAATTTCAAGATTCTCCGGTAGTGTTCAAAAATTACTCTTTAGGGTGCTGAGATCCAACCAAAAGAATTCAAAACTATCTTAGATTATTGCTGGAAATATATCGAATTCGTGGTGAAATTCGTTTCGTACAAGAATGTAATAAGACTCCTGTTGATATAATCTACTTAGATTTTTCTAGGGCTTTCGATCGCGTACCACATAGAAGGCTTCTGTTTAAGTTGGAATGTATGGGAATAAGAGGCGAGTTGTTACTGTGGATTAAGGCTTTTCTCACCGGGAGGACTTTCTCTGTGCGCGTCAGTGATAGCCAGTCTCACCTTCATCATGTAGCAAGTGGAGTTCCTCAAGGCTCTGCCTTGGGGCCAGTGCTGTTCCTTCTGTATACAAGTGACCTGCCCGCATTGATTTCCTCCACATGTTCAGCTTATGCCGACGACACCAAGATTTACAATACTGTCGTAAATTCTGCTATGCTTCAACGAGATCTTGATATTGTTTGTCAATGATCAATCAGTTGGCTTTTACCCTTAAATCTAACTAAGTGTTGTGTCCTTCACCTCGGGAAGACAAATCCGCGATTTACATACAAGATCTCTGACCACAACAACGAAGCAGTTTCCAGCCACACTGATCTGGGCGTTGTAGGCAACGATCGTCTTTCCTGGTCAGAGCATATTCACCACGTAACATCAAAAGCCAAGAAACTTCTATACATGCTGGAGAGGTCTTTCAAAGGATCCGATGTCAACACTTGCGCCTACATTTACAAGGCATTCGTGAGGCCAATTCTTGAATTCGCTGGCCCGGTATGGGACACTGTGCTTCTGCGCGATAGAAATCTGGTCGAATCAGTACAGCGTCGAGCTACTCGTATCCCTTTTGGAGCACGAAGACCAAGCTATGAAGATCGCCTTGAATTATTCAACCTGACCTCATTCTCTGAGCGAAGACTTCGTGGCGATCTTATAGTTACGTTCAGGATACGTCATGGTTTGATGGGCACCAACCTCATGCATCTATACCGTCTGTCGCGCAGCAATCTACGCGGACACAGCTTCAAACTGCATAAGGAGCCATTTAAAACAACAGTACGACAGTGGTTTCTTCCCAACCGCATATTCAACACCTGGAATAGTTTACCTGAAAGTGTGGTTGGTGCTACTTCAGTTAATAGCTTCAAAGTGCAGTATGATAGCTGGAGGAGTGTACAAACTTTATAGCTATGAACTGTCTTTTTTTATTTTTTTCTATTTGATGTATTTGTGTTACGTGTCCGTACACTATATTTACTGCATGAGCTTATAGTACTGTGTACTCTGCTCATCTCAATTATCATAATAATAATAATAATACAACTATATAGATTCAGGATTAAAAATATTGCATAATTCATAGATGGAACTCCTGAGGTCACCAGTTTAATATACGAGTATGTTCAGCAACATCATAATTTAGTTTTTGAATCGTCTTGGTTTGGTGCTCGCCGCCCTTAATTTGGCATTATATTTTGACTATGTGCTTTGTCAAAACTGACTTAAGTCAGCAAAACTGTACGTAATTGAATTAACAAGCAACATATTTTCTCGACTTCATCTATTCCGTTTGTTCACAGGGTCGAATCGTCTATAAAGGGGTTAATCGTGGATCGATCAAGTTATGGCCCCGTCCCATTCACGTCAGTTGTTAGTGTGGAGTGTGCCAACCATAGTCGCTCTGCTCAGCTATTTGTGGTTCAAAAAGAGGAGAATTGGCGCTCAAAGTGACCCTGGGGATACCCGGACGCAGCAGGCGTGTATAAATAATACGAAGAACGAGCAAGAGCAACAGTTGAGCAGCCAATCAGAAGGTAAGATCAATGTTTCAATGTTCACATACGCCCCAGCACCTAGATGCAGCATGAGGGGCCTGCCTCTAGATCCCATATACGAGCCTCGTCCCACTTCAGTTGGCCCACTTCAAGATTTGTACCAAAATATGCCTTTATAAACTAAACATGACGAACCTATTTACTTCTAAAACAATTTATTTTCTCAAAAACATTTTAGATACACTCTAGTCGTAAAAAATAGATATTTAGACCTATAACGAATAGAACATCTGAACAAATAAACAATGTGCGAATAAATGCGCGAAGTTAACAAAGCAACAATTGAAAGATTACCATTGGGTAACATCACCTTTATTTTTTATTACGGCTGAAATTCTTTGGGGCATAGTGTTAACCAAGTTTTGGCAAAAATTTGGTGTAAAACAATCCCATATTTCTTGAAGCTTTTTCATCTCGTGCCACAAAGTTTCAATAGGTGACAGATCTGGACTGCTAGAAACCCATTTCAAAAGTGGTACATTATTTTCTTCCATCCATTTTATAGCCTTTTTGAGGTATGGCAAGATGGTGCAGCGTCATTCTTGCTGAAACACAAAACTTGGCCGGATGTCAAACATTGTTCCATCACTGGTAAAAGCGATTCTTCTAAAATTGCCAAATATTTGTTTGTATCCACATTTCCATCAATAAAATGAAGTTTCCTACTCCTTTTGATAACATACTGCCCCAGACCATGATGGATACTGGAAATTTCACTTTTCTCTTCAGACAGTCAACATGGAATGCTTCATTTTTTTCCGAATAACTCTACTGCGACTGTCACCAACACAACCTTCGAACCGGGCCTCATCACTCCATTGTATTGCATACGATTGTTGAGGTGTCCATAGTCTATGTTCTTTAGCCCATCTAAGCCGATTTTTCTTTTGCAGTGGAGTTAATAGTGGCTTTTCTTTGGCCTATAAACAAGTTGTGCAACTTTAGGGTTTTTACTTCACTTTTTTTATAAGAAAACTTACCTTGCAAGTGCTAAATCCCAGTTTGTGGGCCTCTCTATGAGTTGTGGACCTCGAAATTCCCCTTCCAACAGCGTCACTCCACATAGCACTTAATTGTAAATAATTGGCACGCCTGTTTTTCACGATTATTCTTCTTAATGCTCTTCGGTCGGCATTTGTGATATTACTTTTTTTCAAATATCGTAGCTTAATATTAACTGAACCAGCTACGTTATATCTTCTAACAATATTTCTCACACTGTACCGCGATAAGTCTAACAAAGTTGCAATTTTTGAGTTTGATTTCCCAGAATTAAAAAATTTCATTATCTAAAACTATTTTAAACGTATTCTGACAGCTGTGATTAATAAAAACAATTATCATGGCTTCTATTTTTCACAGCCACCTATGCGTTATAGACTTATACTAAGTGACATATAAATCCGAACACCCAGTTTAAATGGTTTTATTTTAATAAAAGTTGGTGAATGTATTTATCTTACTGTAAATAACAAGTGAAAAAATTTTCAGCCTTATCAGTTGGACATTCCAGTTTTTATACTGCTTTTTTTTAATTCACTAACGCTCTAAAAATGAATATTTCAGCCGCAATAAAGAATCAACGTTGGCGGATTTTGGTTCTTGACATCCTTTACGATCGGTTACGATGCCTAGAGTACGGAGACCTGTACGATTTCGTCAACTTAGTGAGTTTGATAGGGGCCGTATAGTGGGACTTCGGGAAGCTGGACTTTCTTTTCGGGCAATTGCAGTTAGAGTGCAAAGAAGTGTAGACACTGTGGTTAGGTGCTGTCAGGCATGGCTTCGAGAAGGCCGTACGCAAAGAGCAAGAGGCACTGGACGCCGCCGTAGAACAACAGACCGTGAAGATCGCCGCCTAAGATTATTGACCTTAAGGGACCGTTTCTCCACTACCAGGTCCATTGCAAATGAATGGTTTGCAGAACACGGAAGACCTATTGGCATGCGAAGTGTTTACCGACGAATGAGAAGTTTTGGCTTGTTTTCATACCGGCCACACTGGGTCCTCCCTTTAACTCGAGAACACCGACGTAATCGCCTTGAGTGGTGCAGACAACGGTCACTCTGGGATCAGGAATGGAACAGTATTGTCTTTAGTGACGAGTCTCGATTTTGTTTAAGCATGCACGATGGTCGTGCCAGGGTTAGAAGGCGACGTGGTGAAAGGAGGAATCCACATTTTTTTGTTGAAAGACATGTTCATCACACTGTTGGAGTTATGGTTTGGGGTGCTATAGCTTATGGTTCCAGGTCACCTTTAAACTTCATCAGAGGTAACATGAACGCGCAGCGTTATATCCACGAAGTTCTAGAACCCCATCTTTTACCCTATCTTGACACCCTGGCAGATCCAACTTTCCAACAAGATAATGCCCGACCACATGTTGCAAGAGTCACAATAGACTTCTTTCAACATAATGATGTCACATTGTTACCATGGCCACCAAGATCTCCCGACTTATCCCCAATTGAGCACGTGTGGGATATGATGGGTAGGAGATTGCTCAATTTGCAACGTCCTCCTCAGACTCTAGAAGCACTTCGAGAGGAGCTGGTGGTTGCCTGGAATGAGATACCACAGGAGGACGTTGACCACCTGATCAGAAGCATGCCTAGGCGCGTTGGAGAATGCGTAGCACATCAGGGTGCATCCACACATTATTAAAGGTCAAAGGGCTTTAAAGCAGTGCAATCATTTTGAAATTTTTATCATTTACTTATTATGCTTCATTAAGTACTTATACAAAATTTTATTAAAATAAAACCATTTAAACTGGGTGTTCGGATTTATATGTCACTTAGTATATTTTGCATTGAAATGAAAATAGGTTGATATGCTGTAATTGCAAAATGTGTCATTTTTATGGTGCAAATTTGATTAGGGAGTGATAAAGTTGGTGTTTTCTACTATATATTATCAAAATATTCATTGTTAATATTTTAAACCTATAACACCCTGCTACATTTGTATTATTTGTGTTTGATAAGAAAAAAACTAAGATTTCAATAGTTGGGTCAACTGAAGTGGGAAGGGGCTCGTATAATAATCCATAAATGGTTTTTGCTTCGGAGCAATACTCCGTCCTCGCACGGTTGGGACACCCTGTAGATGCAACGTGGCATGGTAGCCCTTTATTGTATTTCTACTGGTTTTGTGGTCACTCGTACTTCTGTGTTTTGAGATTTTAGTGAGCGTTATATATCTGTTTACGTAAAATAATTTGTAACATTGATCCTTGAAGTGTCGTGAAAATTGTGTAAAGTGCTGTGTTAAGTGTCCTGTACATTGTTCATCGTAAATATAAGGTGTCGATTGTTTGATGTCAAAGATTTGACATACTGAGCCGTATTCATAAAACAAAGGATATACTTTCACTTGGTCGTGACTTCAAAAAATTAAATCGGTTCGACGAAGCAAATGTACAATGGCTTGCGGACATATTTTTAGTTGAGAATGAGGAAACTCGAGGAGGAACACGTTCATGTATTCATAAAATGAAGATATGTCTACACTATCTCGGTGACCCTGGATATCCACAAGGTATTGGTCAAGAACTTGGTATTAGTCAAGCAACGATATCTCGGACTGTGGATAGACTTGTGAACAGCATAGTCGAACGAATGGATCAAGTTTCCAACTACCAACCATGAACTGATGGAGGCCAAGCGGATATGGCAAAGCATCCCTGAATTTTTGATAGCAATTGGTGTAATTGATCGTACACATATAGGACTCCTGAAACCAAATCGCCATGGAGATGAGTATATCAACCGAAAAGGGAAACCTACTTTAAATGTGCAAGCCACTTGTGATACCAGAGAGATGTTCACAAGAGTTGATGTCAGTTGGCCTGGATCAGTGCATAATTCCAGAATATGGAGAAATTCACACACTAGATTCTCAACTAATAAATAAAGCAAATGTACTACTTGGCGATGACGGTTATGGTATTAAGCCATGCCTTATGACTCCCTTCAGAAATCCTACTCCAGGTGCAGAAATAAATTATAATACGCTTTTAAAACAAGAAAAAGTTATAATTGAACGCTGTTTCGGCCAACTGAAACGCCGGTTTCCTGTCCTACAGTACGTTTGCCGAGTAAAGTTGGAAAATGTGCCGAAAATAATTATTGCTTGCATTGTACTCCATATTGTTGCGAAGAGCTTGGGCGATCCTGACTTTGAGTTAGTTGAACAAGACCCAGATGAAGATGAAGGAAATCATGAGAATGACGAACTTCCTCTCCCCCAACTAGGTCAACAAATAAGAAGAAACTTGAGTATTATAATAAATAGTTTTACTGATTAAAGTTTATTTATAAGTTATAATAAGCTTTATTTTCGTGGACATGATAAGTTACAGGTGTGGCTTGTGACTCTGCATCATTTCTAATTTCGTTTTGTAATACTCTTTTTGTAAAATACTTGTTTGGTACTGCTGTAATAGCACTAGACGTAGCAGTTCTTTTGTAGTTAACCCTTTGGTTTCCTCAGTTTCGTATTTCTCTGTTGCTATTTTTTTCTGTGGCAATGTCTTCTGAATTGTTGGCGCTGTAAAACTGACTGTTTGCTCACTGCGCTCGGCATATAGTTCACTTCCTTCTTCTTGAACACTGCAACCAGAATGGCACCTCTAATTTTCCTGATTGTAGGATTACAGTGACCTTGCATTGCTTTCAGCAACTTTCTTTCCCAATCTAACAATTTAATTGCTTTATTACCAGTTTTTTTTAGATCTGTTTTTTTCTTCAATCTTGATTTCATGTTGTTGATTTTTTTTAATAAGCCTTTAGTATCTAATGGTTTACCGAATGTTGATTCGTATTTTTTCAACATCGTCTTCAAGACATCGTCCTTTTTCATTTTTATTTTTGGAACTCGTGACTTTTGCAAAATAATGGGAGCAATGGCAATTTCATCTGCGACGATTATTTTTTATAGTTTCCTCATCACTTGAGAATGACAAGCTTATTAATTTAATGAAAAACTGTATACAGTAAAAATACGGAACGGTCTGTGTAAGCTCTGGAGTACAACTGTCAGTGATGCTGAGTGAACGAACTCCCACGTCAACTACAAGCTGGAACAAGTCAGGACATGTTGCTCAAGATACAAATACCAGTCAACCTTTTACTCCTTGGAGGATATCCTCGCGAGTATAAGGTAATCATTATGAATATGAAAACAAGGATATGCTTATACTTCTACCTTTTTCTCCGAAGCAAGACCTTATGCTTCCGAAGATATGCTTCTCTTTTATGAATACGGCTCACTGCAAATTAATCTCTCTCATCATCAACGCATCACCCAATAAGTAGCATTTTCGTATATCACTGGAATGCAGCAAAAACTATGGGTTCAAATTAATTCGTTGGCACGTGTATTTTAGACCAGTGAAATTAGGTCCATGAATGCGTCGACAACCTTATTGTCAACGCAACGGCTCTGCTCTATAAACGAAAGAATTGCTATTTTGGATAAACTGCTACCATCCTTCAGTCCTCAGCTCAACAATATCATAGTCTGTGGTTGCTTGAATGTGGATCTGCTCAACCCAGAGAACCCACTTGGCACATGAACTAGAATAACCAAATTCTGATTTACTCTCATTGATTCAATTTCCGTAAATAACTCAAGACAGCTGGAATAGTTAATGCAGATATAATTTCTTGTCATAGGTTAGTTTTTTGTAAATCCGTGTTGTGATTAAAAAGCCCGGTCCTATCCTAAAGAGATCTTGAAAATATTGAAATAGCTAATTTTTGCGTGATATACAGTAATGGACAAAAGTATATAGACAAATTAATATTGTGCTGTATTTCTTTTTTAACTTGTTTTATTAATACACCAACCTGTATACATAATTCGTTATAGCATAATACTCACTTATACATAAATAAATTCATTAGACTCCCTTCAATAAAAAATTAATTGAAAAAAACTGGAACTATGAAGTACAAAAATATATAGACAAAGCAAAACAATTATAGAAAAAAGTGGCAAAGTTCATTGAATTATAGAAAACCAACCATGTTTGTGTTAATATTTTGTGGCATAACCATTATTATCAATCACCGCCTGGCATCGTTTCGGCATAGATTGTAGAAGTTTCTTTATATAAGATTAATCAATCTGTCTCTACTTTTGCCCCAAAGCGGCAAAAAGTTCATCATTGTTTGAATACTTTTTATCTCGTATTTGCTTATCTAAGTATTCCCATAGATTTTCAATGGGGGTTATATCGGGAGACTGTGAAGGCCATTTAAGAACTGGTATTCTTTCATCCAGAAAGAATTTCTTTGCGAGATTTGAAGTGTGCTTCGGGTCATTATCTTGTTGGAAGATTGATCTTAAGGGCATATTGTCTTCCATATATTCATGCTTTAGTATGGCTGTGTATACAAACATCCATAATGCCATCTATTCTATCTAAATGTCCCATCCCAAACTCCGAAAAGCACCTCCACACCATAACAGACCCGCTTCCATGTTTGATAGTGGGAAAGTGTACTTGGGGTTCAATCTTTGTCCACTAGGACGTCTAACGTAATGAACACCATCTGATCTAAACATATTAAACTTGGATTAGTCACTGAAACATACCCTCTTCCAGTCACAGATGCTCCAATCAAGATGCAACTCGGGCGACGTGCAAATAACTTCAAATCATCTTCTAGTTATAGTTTTCGTAGAAACACTGACAATTCCTTTTGTCTCGATTTCGGCTTTTATCTGTCTTGGGGTTTTGAACGAAATTACTTTTGTTATTCTAACTGATCTAGCATTCAGTTTTCTAGGCCGACCACTTCTCTTAGAGGCTTCCAAGATACATTTTTGTTTATATTTGTTCAATATTGCCCAAACTGCTTTACGCTTCAGCTTCAAATTTTTTGCAATGTCGACTTGACGTCGACCATCCTCTCAATGATCTTAGTTTTCACATCGAAAGAAATTTCTGGACCACGCGGCATGGTCTTAAAATCACTCAACTTATTCCACAATACTTGATGGACACAAACTAATCCTCTTCTGACACGAAACTGTACTAAACTAATGTTGAAAAGAATTTGTCTACATATTTTTGTCCCTTGCAGATAATGTAAAAACAAGGAATTTAGTTTTTCTACTAATAACGCATTTGTTTATGGAGCAAAGAAGTATGAATTCGGTTTCTAAAGGTATCTAGGTAACTATTCATATTTGTCTATATACTTTTGTCCATTACTGGAGCTCGCATGAACTTAGACTTTTTTATGTCAATGATAGTGAACAGAAAACTTATCCTAAGACTTAGTAATCTTCAGACAAAATCCTAAACTTACCTTTAACATATTGACAATTTGAATGCACAACAAGCTTGTAAAACCCTTGGAGATATGAATATTTGCCGATGCAGAAAATTGAAATTCCCAATAATCTACTTGGAATCATATTTGAACAATCGAACACAGAATTTGATAGACGCAATCGACATGTTTGTTCCTAACCTTAGTTAGACGAATACGACCTTCGTCCTAACTAGCGCCATCTGCTTTTAGCTTTCCAGATTACGCATCTTTGAGCAGAAACGATTGTTTCAAATAAGAAGAATAAATTAGACTCATATATGGAAATCTTTGTCAGAAAAAAAAAGTAAAAGATTACGAAGAAATGTGGCGTGTTTTTTACTAAACGGCTTTCCAATAAAGACGTGTGGATACTGAAACAATCTGTGAAGAAGTCTTAACTTTTTTGGTCTATATATGGAACATGACGTGGACCAACTGTCAACCGCGTTTTCCGCACAGCAACATGGATTCAATAACTGTCGCATGATTCTGGCTGAATTTGTGCAATAGCCTTCGTTGTGCTATATTCATTGTAGATTGCTAAGAAAACTCACCAAAAAAAGTCCATTCAATCTTAGTGGTAAATTCACGTCATCTCTGCCAGATATAACCCTAACCTGCAAGGCGAATATCACACGATCAGTATTTACTGGTCAGTACTATCAGTATTTCCTGTTGCAACCGTTATTGTCGGTGGATTTCTACGGAACCTATCCAATACATATTGAAATTGCAATTATGAGATAAAGAATAAGACACGTTTTCTAAGTTAAGACTTACCATTTTGTATACGGGGGAAGTTTTGCATATAGAAACATAGTAGGCCGCGCGGATCGAACGTCAGTACTGAATCTGAACCTCACTCTTTAGTAAACTTAAATTCAAAGTATCAGTTAACTACTGATGTCCTGGCCACACGATCACTATCACATTCCGTGATAAATACTGACTCATGGCAGTAAATAGTGATAATATCCATTATAACGTTTGCTGTGTGGCAAGCAGCAGCGCTCGGTATCCGCAAAATCCACACCAAACTACTCGTTGTTGATGCATTGCTGCCCGAAGTCGCAGACCTTTGCAGGAATGAAAATATCAAATTAAAGAAAACATCGATTCCAGTCACTTATTTAATTCGATGCCAACGTTAACATGTTATTTTTGGGTAACCTTTTATTTGTTTAGCGACAGATTCTTACAATCTGATATTTCATCTTCAGCCTGACACACTTTCATCTTTGTACCAAAAAAAAATCTTATCTGCAAAACCTTATCTCCGTGAGATTACATCTCACTTGTATTGTTCTTTCCAGAATCGGCGACTAAAATCAGTAGTCCTCCAACATCAGGTGCATCCAGCCCAAACAAGAGTTTCACGCGGTCCCTCTCTGGAGTGGAGACCACCCCGATTGACATTGTCATCCCTCCTCAATTGAGGGCCAGCCGAAGCACTTCTGTGGTGATTTCGGACGAGGACTTGGATCTGGAGATCGAAAAAGTGAAGTCTATGAGACAGACCTCATATTTCGGGCCAACCAATAAGAGTGATTCGTCGACCAAGTCTGGTGGTTCGTCGCCCAGGTCTGGTGATTCGTCGCCCAAGTCTACTAATTTATCTCTAAAGTCCAGTAATTCATCGCCCAAATTTGCTGTGGTAAGTATTAACGTTATTAGTTTTCTCAAAGACCTGATATGCTGAATTCAAGGCCTGTAGAAACGTGAGATAGACTTACTTTTATATACTTGAAAAATACTACATTTGAACAACGCAGTCGAAAAGTTAAGGGTTGCTTTTTCAAAAATATCTGGAAGTTTTTGCCTTTCGAATATTTTTTTTGCAAATTTAGTATGTTGAAGATTTAAAGACGTACATAAAATAGATGTATATCATTATTTAGAGATCATTTAGATCGTACAATGGTGTAGGATCGATCAGTTTTAGTTATAGTTTTCATAAATATTACATTACGTTAGGCACGGGTACTTCTTATGTATGTCCTATAAAATACATATCTACAATTTGAAAACATATTTTTGAAGGCATTAAGACAGTATATTACTTAAGATTTATGAATAAAGAGTTTATTTTCCTCGATAGCTAAAATCAATATGGACGGTTAAAAAAATTAAGCAAAAGGTTAAACATCAAATGAAAACAAATAAAATTTTGCTATTTTGCACAATAAAAGTCTAAAGTGTTTGTAAAATATTTAATATATTTCTTCCCCTAGATGAGGTTGTTTATATGCGTTGGTGTGAATCTACATGAAAAATTAATGTTAGTTTGCTTCATAAAGTATGGTCCAAAAATGTTTCCTTACAAAAACTCGGAAATGGAAATTAATTAATATTTTCAGAACCGCTTCAGATATTTCACTGATATTTAGTACGTAGTGAAAGTTAATAAAGTTGCATATTTTTCAATGCAAAAATAATTTTTAGCTTTAACAGTGGCGTGCGTACGGGTATTGACTTCGATATTTTTTAAGAAAAAAATGGTACGCCAATGTTTTTTTGGCAAATAAAAATTATTTTTGAATTCCCCGTTCAATTTAAAATAAATGATCTCTCTTGAATTGTTTTCCTTCGATGCGCCATTTTTGAGTAAAAAAATAAAAACCGTTCTATTCTCCGAGAAAATTAATGCAGTAATTGGACAATGCAGCTTTTGACATCTGACAGGTCTCTGTTATTCATATGTGTTCGCTGTGACATCTTTTTCATTATTTAGTTTTTACTATCTTGTTAATAATGGTGAATTATTCAAATGCAGAAATGGGATATTTCAGCGAGTGCGCAATTCGATGAGAAGGAGGGCGGAAGCATGCATACTACATTTTTTTACTCAGAAATATCGCATCGGAGGAAAGTAAGTTCATTTGTTTTCAATTGAACGGGGAATTCAAAAATAATTTTTATTTGGCCAAAAACCATTGACGTACCATTTTTTTCTTAAAAAATATCGAAGTCTGAAAAAAATTATTTTTGCATTGAAAAATATGCAACTGTATTAACTTTAACTACCTAGTAAATATCAGTGAAATATCTGAAGCGGTTCTGAAAATATTAATTAATTTCCATTTTTTTTCCCTAAAACTCCAACATCCCGAGGTTTTGTAAGGAAACATTTTTGGACCATAGTTTATAAAGCAAACTAACATTAATGTTTCATGTAGATTCACACCCTTAAATATTCGCATATCATCAAAGAACACCCTGTATAATGGTTTAGGACCGTTTCTTGACTCGTTTGACTTTATTCTAATAATATAAAATATTTCGTTTTTTAGTACTTTATGATTGTCTGGCCGTTAACTGAAAAAACGGTGGCCTTTTTGTGACAGATACAACAAAATATAAATATACAGGGTGTCCGCAAAGTTGGGGTTTTCCTTTTCAGAAACAACTATCCTTGAAATAACAAAGGTAATGTGTAGTGAAACGAGGGCGACCAAGTAAAAAAAAATAAAGGAAAAAGTATTATATTATATTATTATATTTATATTAGCAGACGCAGAAACCACATTGATTGTCTTACACTTAATGGCACATCTTCTAACAAGGAAGGCAAAATGTTGCGTAAAAAGTCTAGGTATTGCATCCCGTCCAATCGATTTGGGAGAATAAATGGTCCAATGAGCATACCGTTCACCATGCCAGCCCAAACATTCACCGAAAATGTTTGTTGAAAATGTGCCCGACGAACAGCGTGCGGATTTTCTACTGACCAAACATGAGTGTTGCGAAAGTTATTCACCCCATTACGCGTGAACGTAGATTCGTCTGTCACCAAAAAAAGAATTTAAAAAAGTCCGGATTATTGTCATGTTGATGCAACAACCACTCACAAAACCGCACTCTTGCTGGAAAATCGTCAGGTTGAAGGGCTTGTACACGTTGGACGTGAAACGGATACAGCCCCTCTTCACACAGCGTTTGCCACACTTTAGTTTTTGATACTTGCTCTTCTCTAGCCACGTCTCTAGTGCTTGTTGAGGGATTCTCGTCTACGCGATTACCTCTACACGCGTGACCGTAACCGTCGGTTGAAGGTTGCATACTGACCTGACACACTGACCCCGACCCAGTTCTGTCGTCGAGTTGAGACCTTGTACCAATCGGTGATGTCGCGGGTCGCGGCTACAGGACGGTATTCAGAAATTTTTATCTCGGTTCCCTTAAGACATTGGTGTATATGGTACTAAGAAAAATTGTTTATGTTTTCAAGATCTGCACGTCGTGTAAAGGAAAACCCCAACTTTGCGGACACCCTGGATATAATTATTATTGTCACTCTTGCAACACATCAACGTGGTAGTATATGTTGTTTCATTTAGAAAGACAATCATGGACTCCTACCACCATAAAAACCGCGGGATAAGTTGCAGATGTTAGATTATTTCGTTTTTTTTTTCATTCTATCCCAGGCTGAAACCGCATCTCCGGCAAAGGTCGCAGAAGACGAGGTCCGCGAAGAGACCATAATCGAAACAAAACCGACCAACAAAGACGCACAGAAGATGGCCCAGAAAGAGATAGCTCAAGTCGAAGAGAAGCTAACCGCGCTGAACATCGGTAAGTCCGGCGGTGGCAAGAAGAAAAAGAAATTCAAGGAGCACAAGATGCACATGCTGAACAATAATTCGGAGCATAGCAAAAACGAGACAAATGATTTACAGAGACAGAATAGCGAGAGGGATTCAGCGAATCACAGTCCATCGGATGTGATGATGGCGAGTCCGTCACTTAGCAGCATATCGGATAATCATAGTGAGGTATGTACATCGAGAACTGGCCGGTACGACTGCTCTTTTGTTCCTAGAGTATCGAGATTGTGGAACAATTAATCTGAGCAAGTTTTCTCAGTTACACAAACTTTAAGAAGTTGAAAAATCAAATCAATCGAATATCTTGCTGATTAAATATTTTGATAGATACAAAGTTCATTATCAAGTGTTTTGATCGATTGAATCCACTAACTACGCCTATAAATGTATGATGAGACGTTACTATCGGCAAACGATCATTCAAATAAATTCCTTCGCTACGAACGGATACGTGGCTAATACGGTTAATAAGCTGTCATGTTAAGTAGGTACTCCCTAAAAATGTCATTATCATAACAAGCACTGATAATGAAAACTTTTCACTAAAAACAGTTCGTTCGAGACATTTTTCCAAGGTGTTTGTTTAGTATTTTACTGTAACTGTCTTAACATTTGAGTAATTGTAGTTAGTGGTATATGATTTTACTAGTGCTTCATGATTGGTGCCGTTAACTTAAGGATACGATTCTTGGTGTTAAATGCATCCTTCAGTTAGGGCCAAAATGGTGTAAACTACAAATCATTGTATGTATATTTTATTAGCTAAGCCCTTGTTTGTTACAGGGTTCCAGTGATAGTGGTAAAGGTGGTAGCGATGTTGCCACACCGCCTCCATCTCGCACCCCTGGTATTGAACACAGTTCCTCCCCCTCATACTACGAGTTCGTCATTCCACAAGTACTGGTAGGCAAGCTAATCGGTAGGCACGGCAGTTTCGTCACTCATATCAGGGATAAAACGAATGCTATGATCATTGTTAGGTAAGTCAAGATTTGTTTTTTATGTTAATTGAAGCATCCTGCACTTTGATACGATACTTTCAGTCTTCTGCTTTTAGTTATTTTTTTTTTTAATTTTCGATCATTTCTTACTTTGCAAAATTTGAATTTTGAACTATACAATGTGCATAACTTAAACAGCTGTTTGAGCTTCCGACTACTAAAAAAATATACAGGGTGTTCATTTGAAAACTTCCCACCACGGATTTATCGAAAACCACTGATTAAAGGAAAAAACGCCGAGACACGTCAGAAGATTTGTCAAAGGGGACAACTTTTTAACCAAAAATTATTTCACCCCCGGACCCCAGGGTCATTCCCTTAAAAACATTAAATGACAAGGAGTAATAGATTATTTTAAAGGGCTTTCGAAGTCCTTTATGTTGACGTTTGATTTCTAAAATCAGTCGAATTAGAAAAATCTTTATTTATTTTAATTTGTTCAGACAGAAAACAGAAACACACGAAAATACTACTTTTTATTTCTATGAGTGATCAAAATGTTGCCCGTTGGGGTTAGATAAATCGCCAATTCGTTTATAATTTAAAACAGAAACTACTAACATAAACAGCAATTTGGAAGATTAGACGTGACAACCACCAAATAACAACCCGAATTTTTTTCCGCGTCCTTTTCATCAACACGGATATCCTGGGCGAACTGTATTTATTGTTATACCTGTTTAGTTATTTGTTGCTAAGTGAAAGAAAGAATTTAATTTGCTGTCAGTTACCTTTGTGACAATCTTGGGATAGTGAAAATTAATTTTTTGATCGAGATTTTACTTCCAAAATGGTTTACACACTAGCCAAAGAAGTGGAAATGATTCTGATTTATGGTGCCCAAAATCATTGTGGGAAGATAACTTCGCATGATATGTTTTGGACCTTGTTACTAAATTTACTCAAATTGGATCTGTTGTAAACAAAAACGTAATCATCGGAGAGTTTTGGATGAAGCCGCTCAAGTTGGAGTTTTGGGTCATTTTGGAATAAATCCTAATACTTCATTACACAAAATTGTTGCTGCAACTGGTATTTCATTAGGCTCTGTAAACACAGTTACTAAACTCCATAAGTTTCATCCATTCAAAATGAAAATATTGCAAGAGGTAACTGAAGATGATTTCGATAGGCGAGTTGAGTTTTGCGAACAAATGACTGCAGCGATTAATGATAATACGATTCATGTAAAAAAAATCTGTGCACATTTTATCTTATTGGATTTGTTAATAATCATAACTGCAGGTATTGGAGCAATGGCAATCCTCATGCTTTTGTAGAAGGGCATACCCACTACCTCCAAAAAATTAATGTATGGGTAGGCATTTTAGGAAACAAAGTGATTGGGCCATTGTTTATTAATGGAAGTTTGAATGGAGACTTTTATTTGGATATGTAGGAAAATACCATTAATCCGCTTATCACTGAAACCATTGAAAGCCAAATCGAACAGGATGGAAACCCTATACTTGATAAGGCTGAAATATACATATTTCCAACAAGGCGATGTTCCTGCTCATAATAAATAAATAGGGCGAAGCGGCCCTATAGAATGGCCTGCTAGATCTCTTGATTTGACTTTTTTCTATGGGGCCATTTGAAATCTATTGTTTACTCCCCAACCTGAAAGTTTGGATGAACTTCGTCAGCGCATCATCGAAAGCTGCCATAATATCCCACAACATGTTTTTGAAAATGTCCGTCTGGAATTTGAACATCGAATATATCATCGTTTGGCCAATAACGGGCAACATTTTGAACGCTTTTATAATTTTCTTGAAACGAATCGACCGATTTAAAAAAATCAAATGTCAAAATAAAGGACTTCGAAAGACCTTTCAAACAAGTTATTACTCGATACCCCTTGTCATTTAAAATTTTCAAGGGGATGACCCTGGGGACAGATGGTGAAAGGGGGTGACGTAGTTTTTGGTTAAAGAGTTGTCCCCCCTTGACAAATCGTTTGACGTATCTCGGCGTTTTAATCCGTGGTGGGAAGTTTTCAAATGAACACCCTGTATATAGACCTATTGGTTAATTCATAAAATCAAAAATAAGTCCGCGCACATGTCGATAGGCCACGTGGGAATGCGGGTGTAAACAAAACCTGAAAATGACCGACTTTTGGGGCATATGATTTGCAAGGTCACACGTTCGAAGCGAGATCCAGTAGCGTAGCTTAGGATCGGTATTCGAGGTGGGAGACCGATTCGACAGTACGCATATTCCATTTTTGAATACTGATCAGTGGCGGATTTATTAAAAAGGGCTCAGTCGGCAATTTTTCAAAAGGGTTCGCTTGTTCGGTACATCATATAAATCAAGTGATAAATTATGTTAATTTGATTTATTTGATACAGTAAAACAGAATAATGTAACTTTAACTCCTCGTCTTGGTGTTCGTTCACGAAGACAAATGCTACTTCTCAATAAGACATTGTAGTCAATAATAGCGATTCGTGGGTTAGTGAAAAAATAGTTTATTTTCATTTTCATTCAATTACATATCTCAGTTGAGGCAGGGGGGTGCACCTATTCAAAATGGTAGCAGAAATAATATCTTCTATGTTGGGATGTTCTCATACCCCATTTGTTACCCAAGGATTGGGTATCTTATTGAGAATATTTTTTCACTTTGAAGCAGAATCCAGGCGGGCCATATGCTCCCCCTTCCATTGGGCGCCCATGACTGAATACCAACTATAGATGGAAAGCATTTTCGGATATTTACTAGCCTCCCTCCATGGAGGGACATGTAACATGACAAATTTAATCTGAATGAGAATAGATAGGTCTATATTTTTTGGTAGTCGGTGATTAGAGCCCATTTGTTGCTGCTATCGAATATGGCCTTTTCACGAGTATCCATTACATTTGGCGTCTACTTTATATTAAAGCCTGTATTGTTGGCAATAATGAATCGGGTAAAACTCAATTTGGTATTTAGAACTGTTACACCAAACATGGTCAAAAACTGTTTATCTTGTTTTATTCTTACGTAACTTGAAATATAGTCATGATCACTAGCTGCCATTTTGCTTCTGGCGTTTTTTTCTTGCGTGCGAAGGTACTTTTCTAAATAAAAGCGTTGTTAAGAAGTCTAAGTGCGACTCTGTCGGTAGATCTAGCATTGACAGATCCATCCGAATTGTATCACTTGTCGATATCTGGGTATTTTGAAATGTTACTAGATAATCAGTTGTACGTGGATGATTACGCGCGAAAAAGACTTTGCAAACACATGAGGAGTCGTAACACTGGCACTTTATTGAAAAAGCATCGTCGGACTTTTGAATTTTAAGTAACTGTTGAAGTGGTGTTAACTTTGTTTAATAGTGTATTTTTCCCTAGGAAACATCCAACAGATAACAAGATGAAAGTTTGCTCAGTTGAAGGTACCAAGGAAGCTATTGAGAAAGCGCTCAAAATGGTTAGAGAGAAATTCCCTCTGAAAAGGTATCCGGAAGTAACATTAGAAGAAGTCCACTTCACGCCCCCGATTTCTCCATTTTCTCTTATTCCGGACCATTTATATGTAAGTACAAATATGTGTTTTCTTTGTTAAGATCGCAGGTATTCCTCGAGCAGCAAAGTAACACTTTGCACTCCTTATACATACATAACTTGTCTTAGATCCGAAACATGATAAATAGTTCCTTATTTTTGTTTGAATCAATTTTTCAACCATGATGCAGTTTATCCTTGTTTTTGTTACTTGTGGTTTGAAAACGTATTTTAAGTTTGTTTATTGAAAGAGAACTCGTCTGAATCAGGCAATAGGATTTTATTATTATTCCGCTTACCAACAGAGTGTAACCATATACGAGGTTTTTCCGGCAAATACGTATAAAAAATTCGGGGCGTCGTGTCAAGGCGTTGTGGAGGGTGGCCCGGTGGTTCGCTCTCTCTGTGTGCAATCTCCTGTATGCTCAGTTGAAGCCGGAGCGCTCTGCGAGTAAGTAGGATTCACGTATGCCTGTTGAAAGTAACCCTTTTTTTACCTGCCGTCGGCATGGAGCTCTCTCGGATCGACGAAGAGAGCATGAAAATAAAATGTCTGTGAAGGAACCAACCATCAACAAGAGTTTGAAAAGGTTTTGTGGAAGGCCAAGAAGTTGTGAAGATGACGAACGCTCAGGACGCCCCTCCACATCGAGCTCTGTTGGACGAATTCGGGGCTGGTTTCTTGAAGACTGTCGATTGACAGTTAGAATGATAGTTGAGGAACTGTCAATCCCCAAAACAATCGTCCATGCAATTCTGACAGAAAAACTTGAAATGAAAAAATTGTGCGCGAAAATCGTTCCGAAGCTCTTGACTTCAGAACAGAAAGCAAGGAGGGTTGCATGCTGTGAGGATTGGTTGGAAGCAGAGGAAATGGGAGACTCTCTCAACCGATTCATCGCTGGAGACGAATCTTGGTTCTACGAATTCGATGTGGAGCTGAAATCTCAAAGCATGGAGTGGAAGCAAACAGGGGAACCGAGAACAAAAAAGTCGATTAAAATCAAGGTCCAATGTGAAAATAATTTTGTTTTCTTTGATTCGCATTGTTCGCCAGGAATTTGTCCCTCCCGGCCAGACAGTGAGCGGAAATTTCTACATTGAAGTTTGACCTGATTTGGCACAAGGGGACAGGTGGATCCTTCATCACGACAAGTTGCCTGCTCAAACGTCTTTCGTTGTGCGTGAGTTTTTGGCCAGAAGCTCAATCACCGTAACAGAACACCTGCCTTATTCACCCGATTTAGCAGCTTGCAACTTCTTCCTGTTCCCAAAATGCAAAATTGTGCTTCGGGGGCGGCACTTGGTGGATGTCGAAGTCATCAAGACAGAAAGGACACGGCAAATGAAGTGCCTCAAAATTGAAGACTTTCAGCGATCGTATCAACAGTGGAAACGGCGTTAGCAGAAGTGCATCTTGTCTCAGGGGGTACTTTGGAAGATACCATATTGAAATACCAGAACAATTGTAAAATAAAGTTATTATTCCACTTTTATATGTATTTTCCGGACATGCCTCGTATTTCATGTCAAACTGTCAGTGTAGGAGAATTGAGGTATATTTTTCCCTGATCTGACAATTCCAACGTTCAGGACAGGGTCTAATTCTAAGTACAAAGCAAGAATTTTCAACAAGTGTTGTTACTTTTCATAGCACAAAAACGAAACACCTAAAATGCTTTTTGGACGGCGGATGTTGGTATTCCATCGAAATAAAAATCCAGGTTCCAAAAGTAGGTACATCAACAGAACATTGAATCCACATGTAGTGATCATTCCCTGTTTCTCTGTCCAGATGAAACCACAAGTTGAAATTTTGTTTTACTCACGTTTCTCCCTTTTCCAAAATACAGCAATGCTATTTTAAAATTGCATGATGGGTTCGCGCTATCCCAGTGTGGTGCAGGACCATTCTTCAGGCTGTTGTTGCAACAAACTTTATAATAGCCAAAAAACGAATTGAATGTATTTTCATTGATCGGTACTTTGAAAAAGGCCTAAACGTCATTAAAAACTAACTCAAACATTCATGGTTTTATTTGGTCAGCATAAAAATAACGGGATAAGTCTCAGGTGATTCATTATCCGCATATCGTTTCTTTCATAATTCACAAACTTTATGTATGAATTAAAGAATTTGCACCTGAAGACATTCAGTCGTATATGAGACTGCATTATGTTCAATAAAACTATAAAAAACAGATTTATCCGCATAATGGTCAAACTCATTTATAAATTCAGTACCATAACACTCTTGAGATCTTCCAACAGACTGAATGGAGCGTTCGTTTTCAGTTGAAACTAGTAGAAGGCATCAACAACGACACAATTTTATCCTGTTTGGTGGCCCCCAACCATCTATTTATGCAACAGCCTACCCATCCGTCGTTCCCCAGTTTGAACGTCCTAACCAACTGCATGAACGGCTGCTACAACGATTGCCAATCGCCGATGCTGCCCAATCCGATAGCGCCGAACACCGTGTGCGCGGCTTACTCCGTTGACGGATGGTACAGGTTAGTATTATTTTGTTATTTTCTGCAGTAGTCGGCTCTACCTTCGGCTGCGACGTCCGCCTTGCCGAGGCTGTCCGTCGCTGAAAAAAACAAAACATCTGGGCAGTCCGAAGGCTTTTCGGCGAGTCAATTTGATTTCTGCAGGTGGGCGGTTCTTGTCTTCTTGAATTGAATTTGTGCCCGCCCCTAGTGGAAAGAAACTGCAACTCTACAGGGTGGCCCATCCATGTGTGGACGTAATATTAGTCATAAACAAATACATTTTGGGAAAATCTATTTCTAAAATATTGGCCATTATACAGGCTATCCCAATTTTGACCTACATATCAAGGTTGTTATTTTTTAAATGGAATGCCTCAAATTTTATCGCATATTTGGATGAACCAATTCAAAAGAAGAAGATTGATATAACATACTATGGGGTAATTAGCTACTGAGATGTAAGGTGTTTTGTCCAGAAAAACTATCTACTTCTTCAACCCCTCAATCCGCCATTTTGAAATTTGGAGTGCTGAATTTTGTATCAAAAAAAAATTACACGCCTCAGCTTTTATCCTATTTGTTACTTTTTCGAATTTTCATTTTTGCTCATGCAGTGTGGTGGTCAAAAACGCGAGTTGTACTTTTTCTCAAAAATTTCAAGTGCATCACCCTGTATGTTTGTGCAAGTTTTTATTCAACTTTTCATAAGCTTTTTTTTGGTATAAGGTTTGATTCAGATCACTAGATTTTGAGTAATTAAGCTTTTAATAGAACAACACCAAAATTAAGGTAAAAAATAATCATCCATGGACAAACAGTACGCTAGTTCCATATTGCCACTAAGAGTACAGATTTGACGTAAAAACTAATAACAATCAGAACAGTATAAATCAGCTTCAAGCATAGTAGAGAAAAACAAAAATAACAACATAAATAACTATCACTACTCAAGACCTAATCTACAAAAACGGCTCGAAAATATCTCCACCATGTTGAATATACAGCAGTGGTCTTTGGATAAATGACCGTTGCGTATTCCTCAGCATGTGTTCCCTTATGTTCAGAAAAGCATCCTTAATCCTTTCCTTCATATTTTCCGGGGTAGATGGTGGATATCTATAAACCTCTTGCTTAACGTAGCCCCATGGAAAGAAGTCCATCGGTGTCATATCTGGTGATCTAGGAGGCCAAGATGTAGGCCCATCACGACCGATCCAACGATTGTTACTCCAGGTGTCCAATTATTGCAGGTGCGCCGTCATGTTGGAAGTACATATGCATCCGAGTTTGCAAGTTGACATCCTCCAAAACCAAAGATCAAAAAATTCATGTATTATGTACCTGTTAATCTGTTGTCGAAAAAGAAAGGCCCTATAACTTGTCTGCCAATAGCTCCTCCCCAAACATTCAAACTCCATTTATTTTGGAAATCTATTTGCCTAACCGAGTAAGGCATAATAGTGCATGGTATGCCTGTTGACAACGCCTATGCTGTTAAAAGTTGCCTCATCGCTAAACAGAACCTTATCCAGGAAAGTAGTGTCTTCACTCACTTTATTTAGCATTATTCTACTAAACTCCATTCGAGCTGCGAAATACTGAGGACGAAGCCTTGATGCAAGCATAGGTGATATGGATGGTACCTATGCTTGTGAATAATCCTTTGGACAGAAGTTCTGCATATATCACTTTCTGCTCCAATTTGCCGTGCACTTAAATTGGGTATTTCCTGCAACTTTAATAGAACCTCCAACAAATTCGCCTCATTGGTGATACTTGGATTATTTATACATTTTTTACTATATTCCACTGCTCCACTTGATTCAAAACGTTCTCGTAGTGTGGAAAATGTTTCCGGCCTTGGATGTTGCATTAATATGCCGGGTACCGTTACTTATAAATGCGAGATGCTAGGAAACTATTTCTTTGGGCTTCGTAGAAAACGAACATTCACCATTTCTTCTTTAGAAAAATTTATTTTCAAACACGTTTTTATTATAATGCTCACAAAGCTAATTTTGACAGTTTGTAACTAATCAACAATTTATTTGTTTCCAAGAATGATGCGATATTTTAGGGAATTAAGCCGTTCCATAAAAAACGTGCTAATAACCGAAAAAATAGCCGTACAATGTGTCTAGTATCCTGAAAAAAGCTTATAAAAAGTTGAATCCAAACTTGCACAAATATACAGGGTGATGCATTTGAAATTTTTGTGAAAACTACAATTTACATTTGTGACCACCCCCTGTATAATGGCCAACATTTTAGAAATGTGCCCTCGAATGTCGTGTATAACATCCCATAAATAGATTTTCCCAAAATTTATTTGTGTATGAATAATATTCTGTCCACACATGGATGGGCCACCCTGTATATTCAATTCTTGATATATCCTTTACTTTGGTCACGAAGTGATAAGTTTGAAAATTCAGTAGATAACAATACATTTTTGGATACTTTGCAAATAAAAGCGTTGTTATTACAGGGCGATGGTGCTGTCATCAGATCCAGAGACTGAAATGTCGTACGTGAAATTCCTTGATTACGGGGGCTTCGCATATGTAGAGAACAGCAAACTTAGACAAATACGAGGAGATTTCATGTTGTTACCTTTTCAAGCTGCTGAGGGTATCCTGGCAAACATTAGGTCTAAAAATGGTGAGTGCATCAATGTATCCATTTCTTTGGAACTTAGAAGTATAACACCATTATATTTATCTAGTTGATGGCACATGTCGAGAAAGTAAGGTGAATTTTTCAAGTAATGTTAGCATTTTTTCAAATTGGCGATTTGTCTGCCAGTATGTGTGCAGTTATGCATAAATTGCAAAAATACACCTAATTAAAATCATTACACATTGCGGAGATTATAACTTGTCGTGCATTTTTGTAACATTATATCCTATAAACTTGCGTGCGTCTGAATGTGCTATCTTCATAGTTATGTCAGTGCTTTTCAGAAAGCCCCCCTATTGATTTTTTGAACGCCAGGGGTATTACGATATACTGAGATTAAAAATTTGTGTGTCAACCTGTGTACTAGGTAGTCGCTAGTCCACGCCACGCGCACTCGCTGCGAACGCCACCTATGGAGGAATAGTACAATGACCTATAGTATAGGATTTACAGCTTATGCCATAAAAGCTATCAATTGTCTCGACTGCCATCTATGAAGCAGATGTTATATCACATTCAATGTACAAACATGCTCAACTTTAACAACCTGCTAGATCTCCATTGGCAGTGATTTATATTCTGTGGTCATAAAGTACTCATAAGGAGATTCAAAATGAGGTGTCACAGGACCCCTCATTCCATTAAAAAAAATACTGCACTATGGCGCTCAGCCGCAATCGAGAGATTTTCAACTTCCACTTTCACACTAAAACATAGTATTGACCAGTGTTTAAAGCACCGTATGAGACGTTTTTGTTTTATATTCGCAGAAGATGGCACGTGGCCTGAGGAAGCGTACAATGTAGTCGCAGATATTACAAAAGGAGCGATAATTTATACCCAAGTAGCAGACTATACGGAAGACGGTGTACCGCTAGTATTATGTTACGTAGTAGTAGGACCAACGGTAAGTGAATTAAATGATTTTTGTTTATAACATTGCATCCTAAATAAAAAATATATCAGTTTACGGTCAGTACACACGGGCCTTCAAATGTAGAGCTGCAAAAAATATGGCGTCACGCAACGCCGTCATGAGTCGATAAAGCACAGCAAAAGTTCAGCACATGTTAGACCCTCTGAGAAAAAGTTAGTTACATGTCAAACAGGTCTACACAATTAGTGCATAGACATTATTTCCTTGCCCTAAGGCTAGTCCATCTGGCAACGCCGCCTCTCCCCGATACTTGACCGCTCTATGCGGCAGTAAGGCCAGAACACTTACCAAAGCCCCCCACTCTTAATTTATACCCCTAAAACATGTTTAAAAAAGTGGTCCGGATTCTTTGAAAGGTCAAAAACGGGGTTTGAGCGGTATTTATTTTATTCGTTTTTGGCGTTTTTATCCGCCGCCACTTTACCGATTTTCAAAAACTACAACGCTTTTCGTTCTTGGCATAGCAGTAATCTTGTGTTCCGTACCTGGGACGCGTCGCTGTTGATCCGAATTCTTGATATTTACTAATAATTTTCGAAATCGTTTCTTTGTTCATTTTTAATCTTTGAGAACTGTCAACATTTCTGACGCCTCTTCTAAATAATTCGATTACGTTGACTCCTAAATCTTTTTAAAATTCTTTCACTTTTGCCATTCACACTAATGTTAATATTTACGGCACGCAATATCGCAGAACGCATAAATACGGCGAAAATGAAATGTTTCCATACGTTTGTCGTTACAAAACTGTGGTTTTTAGAAACGCGTGTTTATATTTTCAGAGAATTTGAATATTGATAAGATAACACTTGTATTAGTACGGGAGCCAAAGGTAGACTTTAATATTTGTATGATCTCCCCCTCACAATTTTAATGTAGGTATATGAAATAACAAAGTTGATAATGTTAATATTTGTTTCCAAACTTTTGTCCGCTACTGTAGATAGGCCGATAGACCTATAGAAATGAGTGACATGGTTTTTCATTATGTACATATAATATAACACCCAAAAAACTCAATATCTCATTTTCGCGTTATACTTCCTCGTCAGTAGACGTGGGAAGTAAATCACGCGACTATTTGCTATTCACTCGGGATGCGTTTCGATATGCCTTAATTGTATACAGCAGTAGCTAGTCTGCTAATTGAAATCTGAAATTGATACTACTGAAGCAGTTATGTCATATTCCTTTACCCTTTACGACGCAGCGTGGTCTGTTCCATATGCATCAGTTAATGCAAAACCCGCGTTTTTTGCAGCGCAACAATTTAACGCTCGTGTGTACCAGCAGTTAATTAACCATCAATTTTTATTTAATTTTTAGTATAGATGTATTTCTTCAAATGCGTCTTTATTTGGCTGTTTAAGTAACTTTTCTCCAGGCTTAGCAACATTTGCTCAGCAGGTGCTATGAAAACTTATAAATTCTCATTACCAGAAAACTGATATATGCTAATTTTTGGGACATTGACAGTATGTTTTGAATTTATTTATGTGTGGAAGAGTGAGTAGCCAGTTAAGTACAGGGTGGCCGATAAGTAACTGACTGGTTTGTATCTTGGATATTTGTGAAATGAAATAAAATACGTCCATTCTTTTCATCTTAATATTTTATTGAAACTTAGAAATTATGTATGAAAAATAATGTCAGACAAATGTCCGCCTCTAGAAGTCGCACAAACCAGTGCCCTCTTTCCATCACTCTTTCTTGGGTTTCGGGAGAAATATTTTCAATCGCTTCGGTAATATTGTTCTTCAGCTGCTGTACAGTATTTGGTTTGTTAGCATAAACCCTATTTTTAAAAAATCCCCATAAAAAAAGTCAGGGGCCATTTAATCCGGTGACCTTGGTAGCCAGTTGATATCACCAAGTCGAGAAATTAAACGTACCGGAAATATTGTTCGCAAAAGATTCATTGTTTTCCTAGCTGTGTGACAAGTTGCTCCGTCCTGCTGGAACCACATGTTTTGCAGGTTTTTTTTTTTATTTGAGGTGCCAGAACGTTTTGCACGATATCACGGTAGCGCTCGCCTGTGACAGAGAATTACCTGCAGCGTCTTCAAAGAAGTAAGGTCCAATGACACCTCCATACCAGACACCGCACCAAGCTGTGACTCGACGAGGATGTAGTGGTCGTTGATCTATGACACGAGGGTTCTCTAATGCCCAGATACAATTTTGCTTATTAACAAATCCGTTGATATCGAAGTGGGCTTCATCGCTCAGTTGTCGTCAAAAATCGTTATTTTGGGTATTAAGCTGCAATATTGCATGACTGTATTGTCGGCGACTTTCATGGTCACTAGGCTGTGGTTCTTGGGTTAAATGCATTTGGTATGGCCGCAAATACAAGTCTTTTTTTAAATAGTACATAATGACATGCGATGAATACCCAGTTCTTGAGAACAATGTCTGGTAGACGCCTCAGGGCGCTCTACTACACTTTCACGAACTCTCTCTATATTTTCCGGAGCTCGAACACGGCCTGACCTTGGCAAGTATTTAACTTCACCTTTTTGTTCAAATTTCGGCACCAACTGTCGAGAATGGTGTTGACAATGGGCACATTATTTCGACCGAAATCTTGTAGCTTCCGAACGTTGCTACAATCGACTCATTATTTAAGTACGTTTTAACAATACGGACGGGTTGTTTGATTTTGTAGCGCTCCATGATGAATTTGACACCTACTGAAATGCTTGTATCCAAAATGGCGCACAATTTAAATCAGTCGGTTATATATTGGCCGCCCTGTATAAACTGCGAATTCGCTTTCACCGACCTCATAATGAGTTTCGATAATGGGTCTGTCATAAACATTTTTGTTTCAGTCTATAATATTCCTGAATCAGCACTTGGTGGACAAAGGTTTCGCCGAGTGGGTAGCGATGGTAGAGGACGTACCAATTCCTTGTAGCTCCACCGACGCGACGCAACAACAAGAAAGTGACACTATAACGACAAAACCTGAAACGGCTGCAGTCCAAGCGTAGTCCTCGTTGATATATTGTTAAATTTCCTTTTTTGTTTTCTTTCTCAACTGGACCAGGCGTCAGATGTTCTATATTTGTGAAACTCCAAGGCTCCTTCATCTTTACAGTACTTCATCGGCCTAATATTTCCGGACTTCACATAAAATATGATTTTATTGCTTACTTCTGAATTCTCTTGAAAAAATGCAAATAACATTTTCTAATATCCAGTGGAACCTAGTCTGAAATTCGTTAAACATTAAAAAAAGAATTCAACTCAGATAAGCAAGATCATATTATTTTGTGATGTAATTTCGAATCCAGTAAGACTTATACAAAACATTCAAAATTGTTTTCTCTAAGAATATTTACCCTTTAAGATATTTTTTAAAGAGCCGTGTGATTTCGAGGATATGGAGAAATTGACTAACTTAGTTACAGCAAAGATGGAAAACTATATCCTGATCTTATGCCTGTCTTTTTCAAAACAGTCAGCGTGATTTCTTATAAAGTTTTATCTCATTAATAGGCTAAATGTCGTTGTCAATAAATGCCAATCCCTTATATCAGAAACAAATGTGGTTCTTCAAAAATCCTCAAAGGACAAAAAATATTCTTGGAATAATAACTGCTTGAATTTTCGGAGCATTTTGTACTAATAGTGCCAAAAAATTGAAAAAAGGACCATACTGTTTTGTTTATATCATTTTGATTGTGTACGTTAGTGAGATTTGGATTCAGTCCAAGAAACCTGCAAACAGATTTCCGGAAACATCATCGTGAATGCGATCGTCTGGTGCTTGGTCTGTTGCCCGACTCGACGAAAGCAGTGATTTTCTACTTACTATACGTATAACATATTGAGTTTTTATTAAGTTTGTTAACGATGCATTTTTTATATTTTATTGGCCTTATGCATAGGTTAAGTCGCGCGACTGAGAGGTGATCCGGTGGAAGAATGTCTTAGAGTCATTTCATCATCATATGTGTATTTATGATTCAATATGAAGGGCTTGTGACTACTGACTGACAACCCTTCGTGTTTTTAATGTGATTTTTTTGACTGAATTCGGTATTACCTAACATGAAAAAATGTCTGATAGTTTAGCTAAAATTAACAACGTACCACCAGTTGTTCAAGTCTTTGTAAACTTGCTATGATTGTAGCAGAGTTAATGACAGTGGAATATTTTTTTCTTAAGTTGTTGTATTGAAGTCGCATAAAAAAATTATACATATATACGTTTTTGTGGTTATGCGGAAACTGGTATCTTTTATACGCGTGACTATTTGAAAAAATACCGTGCAGCACTAGAAGCTTTTAGATTTGAACAAATCGATCATGTATCGTTCATTCAGCGAACTGTATCACAGACTTAATTTGCTTGATAGAGGCATATAAGGTTCTATAAACTTTTTTATGAATCATGCTGCTTTGCAAATTATAAGAATAGTATAGCTGCATATTATTGAAAATTGTGATCATTTCTGTTCTATTTCACTGTTTTTCTACGATGACTGAGATTCATATTTATAAAGAGGCCTTGAGGGTTGATCTACCCTTGGAAACGATGCAACAATAACGCATCAGCGACGTTCAAGGGAGGATTTAACATTTGCATTTTACAATAAGTTGTAACAGATGTTATCACAGGATCGCTATATCTATTTTATTTTAATGATACATTTGGGACAATGGTTTATTTTTGTGCTAAATATTACTAAAAAATGCGAAATAGTAATTTATTTGTTTTCTCGAATTAATATTGGATTCGAAACCAGTAAAATGTGCGCAAAGGCAACCGGTATTACACTGAACTCTGTGCTTTTTGTAGAAGTGGTGTTACATAAAAAATCGATATGGCGAAAAATCGGTATACTTGTGAAAAAATGTTCAATGAAAATACAAGCAAAAAACTCAACAAACGTTGGGTACATTGCGTTATTTTCAGCAAACAATTAAGCCTCTATGAAATGTCTGGTCTCAGTAGTCCGTTCTATGAACCCTTTAAATAAGAAAAAGACAGCTTTATAAAAATTAATTTATAGAGATATTTCCCCAGCTGTTACAACACATTCTACTTACCTTTGTTTGGTGTTCTCCAACAATTTTTTCAGTGGCTTTATGGTGTTTTGTTTTGTTGAGCTTTTTGTATTTCGCTCTCAAACATTGTTTTACAAACTGATTGAGCATATATATATATATATATATATATATATATATATATTCTATTTTCAACGATTCTTTATATGTGCCCATTTTTGCATTTTCTTTGCCTCACTGAATTTCTGTTTAGTTTCGATGCTACACATTATGTAATGACTGGAATTTTTTGAAATACTGTAGCAAGATAGGGTAGCTAATATTTTGTGGTACCAAGGCTGTACGCTGAATCTGGCAGGCATGACAAGTTCGGTGCAGTACTGGTTCCGATTGTGCAATAAATTCAGAAAAGCAATTACATTACTATTTTGCATTGTTAAGCACAAAAATAAACCATAAAACTCTTCCTGGCAGCCTGTGATTACATCTTTTACAGCCTATCTGTGAAATACAAATCCTCCCTTGAACGACCGTCGATGAAGCGTTATTGTTGTGTTATTCCCAAGGGAAGATCAACCCTCAAATGGCACTCAGCCCTTGAGGACGTCTACAAAACAGACTCCTACGGTATTGAATTTCATTTGAACAGTGTCACTTGTATAAAATCCATTCTATAAATCCTATATCCAGTCATTATTCATTCATAATAGGTGCGAAAGTTCTAGTTCAGCTATTCTTCTATACTTGTGTAATCAAATCTATTATGATCGTTAAATTTGCCTATTTAATACAAGTGTTTTATATAAAATTAGGAAAATCCATACAAAAATTCTGAAGCGTGTATTTATGTACTACTCCAAGCTCAAAATATATTTTTTTATCTGTTTGCAAATGGGGAAAATCAATCGCAGCCCTGTCGTCATCTTTAACCGTTTAGTAGAATTTGGAGAAATTTTATAAAAAACAACTTCAAACCTTATGATAAAAAGCCGTTACCACTAGCTCAGTTTAAACTACCTACTTTTTATGATGTTGTAGCTCAATTTTGTTTTCAGGAAATCAACTAGTAAGAGTTTTGTCGTGAAGATATCAGTTATTTTTGATCAATCATATAAACTAGTCTAAATGACTGAAGTTTAATATCATTGTTTGGCATTGGTGATAACAAATATACCTTCACTAAATCTCAAGTTCAGAATTATTAAGAAAAAATGTATGAAATCCACATCCGAAAATTACATCAATTGTTACTTGTAAAAACCTTTGTCGAAGGAACCAGCCCAAATTAAATACAAAATTATCGCATTTGCTTTAATAGTAATTTTAGTATAACGCAAAATTATTATATATAAATTTAGGTAGATTAATTAATTTTTGCATGGTAAACCATGAGTTCATATTAATTTCACAATATTATGCCCATAATTTATTTATTTTAGTGGCCTTGAAAATGTATATATTATTTTGCTACTTGGTCTCGTTAATGCTGTTCGTGTTTCTATGTGTCGTGTATTGGGTTATATCTATTATATAGACATTGCTATTTAAAATGGGGAATGCTTTTTCATGCGTGTTCATATCACACAGTGGCCCATTTTAATCTCCCCACCAAAAAAAAGTTGTAGGATTTCGACCTTCAAGGCACTTCCAAATTCAAGTGAATATTTTGTTCACACCGAAATTCAAAAGATCACATTTTATGTCTTAACATATCCGTGACTATGACCTTGTCTGCTGCCTCCAAGTCTATTTCAAGGTCAAATGAAGATGAAAACAATTTGATCTTCAAGGTCAAGTCAATTTTTCTCAAAAAAAAACCTAATTTTTATACCGGAAATAAGAAAATCGGAAAATTTTACGTCAGAACGCGACTTTGACCTCAAATGACATTTACGCTTGTCCTTTTCTTCAAGGTCAAGGTCACATTGTGACGTAAAATTTCCTGCTTTTTCCATGTCCAGTATATAAATGAGAGGTATCCTTTGGAGATTTTGAATTGACCTTGAACGTCATAGTCAGGTCATGGCCAATGTGAAAAAGGGAGGAATTCCACTTGAAAATGTCACCTGAGCTTGATCCGATTTTGAAAGTTGTAGTCGAGATCACCACCATTTTGCCTCTTTGAGAGCCTACACCTTTTGTTGAAACTGTTTTCTGGAATGCGCAGCTTTAGAAATTTTTAGGTTGGAAGATTAAAATCGGACACAGTGTATATGGTTCCATTATCACATCTATAAATCAAGCATACCTGCAGATCAAATCTCTCAGTATTTCAATTTATTAAAATTGCAACTATTTGCACTTGTTTTAATTCTTTTTTGCTTCATATAAGTAGACCTGCATATGCAAATAATTGCCACAAACACCATTCGTTGCTGCCGAACGCAAAATTTGTTAGTACGACGTACTGCAAAAATATATACTAAGTAGCTGCGATAGCTCACAAACCGCCAGCGAGAAAATGCAAGAGAGGAGATTGTGAGGAGCTCATAAACAGCACTACAACCCCAGGTGGTTCTTGGCTGACTTTACAGTTTTACCTACATCTGGTACAGTCTTCCATCAATGTTGTGTCCAAGTTCTTTGCTAGGTGTGACTTGGTGTTATACAGGGGCTACCTAGAGATTTTTCACCACTTGGTATTTCTATTCATTGCCGAGTCTTTCAGCGGGGCCAGCCCATCTCAATCGTTGTGCTTTGGTCTCTTGGACATTATGCATTTTTTATATGTATCCTTCTAAGTTGAAATACAACCCACTGACTGCCCTAAATCGCCATTAATCATTTTGGTACCATTTACTCTGGGTTGTCATATGAGACAACTTGTAAGCTCCTGCGAGACTTTAGGCATGTTCCCAACTAGAATACTTCAAAAAGGTTAAAGTTATTATAATAAAAATATGCAATAATAGCATATTATGTCACCTAGGAATGTTTTTCATGCGCTTAGTAATGTTTGACAGTACTGCCTCTTTTCAGCCACATTTATGTACCTTCATCTTCTTGCTGGACAGATTACTATGTAGCACTGATACCACACAATCAGCAAACCATACAATAACCCCTGCTGTCCCAGACGTACATAGTTATAATTTTGTATTAGGTAGCAGCGGTTGCGATCATCAGAATCGTAATTTTTACGTAATAAAAGTGCAGGAGGCAGTTTTCCCTAAGTACCTAAATGAAATTATTCGTGTTGATTCCGGGTCAAAAGATCTGCTTCTTTCCCAGAGCTCTGATTTCCTTGTTTTTTGGACAATATGGCATTCGTTTAATTCACCAAAAATACTTGAATCTGATAATGGAACGCAGTACTAGCAACATTCATAGAATTTATGTTCCAATGGAAATATTATTTTTGTTTTATTTTTCCGAGAACCTTCAAAAAATTTAGGGTTTTGTGTAAAGCATTCTGCCTATATGGGAAATTTGAAGATTTATATATTTTTTGGTCTGGGTGTTATTTTTTACATGTCAATGTATATTATTCAAGGTGTCTCTAAGAGCCCTCCCTCACCGGGATGCCAAAGGGATTTCGCCAGCATCTGTTGCCAAACCTATTGGAATATATGGAAGCTCCTGGAATGGCAATAGACGCCAAAATCTCTGCTGCCACATAGTCTATAGTTTACGGAACTCGAGGCTGCGTGCACCGCCGTGTCATCTCCGACTCCACCTTCTTGATTGGTATTGGTTCTCTATATGAGCTCGACCGATCCTGTCCGGTAATAGTTATGCTTCCCGTTTCTTAAAATATATCAACGTGCTGATCATGCACTGGTTGTTGATGTCTTCGTTGGATAGACTATAATAGGCTGGTTTGGCTACAGATGCCGGCGACGTCGGGCTCTAATATTAACTTCCTAGCCTCGAGTGACAAAACTATACATTTATTAGAAAGGCTAACGTATGTTATTAATGTTTTCAACTATGTTGTGTGTTATTTGTTTAGGTTTAATTAGTTCTTTTTAGGCATATGTTCGCATATCTGGCTTTTTGTACATAGGACTTGTAATATATGTTTGACATTTTTGACTAAATATACCTTCTCAGTAGAACTTGTTGTTTCATTTCTCCACAGAAAATGAGTTGGTGTTACAATTTGATTAAAAATTATTATTAGTTTAGGCTACCAGTTATAAAAATACCACTTCACAAGACTTTATTTTACATCACATGTAAACAAACATAACAGGAGTGTTTATTATCTAAAAGATACAGTGCACACAATACTTTAGCTCTTAAGTTAAACCTTCAACCATCACTGATTAAACTGCACCTGCCTTAAGATGAGGTTCTTCCTTCTTCGCTGCTCCACCCAACATCTTCTTAATCTCGGCAATTGCCCTGCCTGGGTTCAAACTCTGGAAATTTTGACTGCTGTTAGAATCCTATCTATGAAATAAGCATGTAGGCCAAACAGGGGTAAACGATAGGGTTCATGGATAATAATAGCAGTTTATTGCCCAACAGAGCAATACACAATAACTACGAACATATTGTCCAATACACCATAAAGAAATTAAAAAGGTAAAAAATGTAACAGAATGATACAATATTTTACCGAAAATGAATATAGAGCATTTCTAAACTTCCCACCACGGATCTATCGGAACTCGGTGATTAAAAGAAAAAACGCTCAGACACCAAAATATTTGTCAAAGGGTACAACTTTTTAACCAGAAACTACTTCACCCTTGCCCCCCGGGAAATTTTATTGGTACCAGAAGAAATTTTGTCTTTCAGTTTCTTTGACGTAAAAATGATCTCATCAATAAATAACGGGTATCTACACCATATATAGAAGTTACAAAAACGATACCAAAAGAATCTGCAAAGCCATTCATAATATATTTTGGACTAGCATGAGTTGTTACATCGTGAGTGATTTGCCCTGGAATTCTAGATTTGTCTTTATTTCTTATGTAAGACTAGAAATGTGTTAGGTCGCTGTTCATTGTGTTTTGAACATCATTAACATATAGATCAAATGCTGCCCTTAAAGTTTCCTTCATCTTAGCTCGTAACAGTTTGTACTTCTCTAAAAAATGCGTTACCTGAACGATTCTACTTCCGCAAGTAGCATTCTTTACATTACATTTTTTGATGGTATTAGAATCACACAATGGTGGAAAATTGCGCTTGAAATTTCTATATAATGGAAAGTGCTCATCGAAAACAATATAATTTACTGTAAAGACAGTCCACAGCACTATTTATGGATAAGGAATATGGAATGTTATAGTTTATCTAATACCTTTGGACATGTCCTTGTACAATTCATGATTGTGTGGCATCTGAAGGCTGAGAATGGATCCCTCATCTTATCAAGACGCTTCTCAGTTGCTTCATCTCTTGAGTCGATTATCCAACGATAAGCCTTGATATAAAATAGTGAATTAAAACAACTGTTTGCTACTTGTAACTGAATATTTATAAAGGTATATTATATTCTACTTAATTTTTTTTTGTCTAGTTACACACCTGCATGAGAACAGCAGGCCCCAAATACTTGTCTCCATTCCACCAATAGCTGGGGCAGGAGGTTGAACAACATGCACATAAAATGCATTCATACAATCCATCAAGTTTTTCTCTATCGGCAACACTCTGAAGAAGTTCACTCTTCTGGTTATGTGCATCATCTCTGTCAAGAAAATACACAATTATCTATTGTTGCTTTTTGTTTTCACTGAACAGTTTTTAATAATTTCGTGCACTTAGGGAAAGACAGCTGAATGCTGCGGCTCAGTAACTATTAGGATCAAATGCACACCAAGATAAACACTGTCATTCCCTGAATGTGTCCACTCGTAGAAATTAATAGGGATGCACTGACTATGTACTGTATTCAAAAAGTTAAGTACTCGGTCAGTGTGTAGTTCATTACACGTTAGGTTGATTTGATCAATGTTTGCTGACATTTAAGCAACACGTACAACTACAAAACGAGTTCACAACAAGGGTACAATAGCTTATACTGAGTTAACATCTTGTAGAAAAACCTACGAAATGTCAAAAAACGCTGAAATGTCACTTTTTAAGATACTTAATACCCGTGCGGGTACTTGATGCAATGATTGGCTGGATTATTTCAGCTATTGTTAGTGGTATTAAGAGAATCCTTCCAGTTTCAAGAGAAGCACATTTGTAAGACATTCAAAACGTATATACCGGGTGTTTCAAATTCGATACTCACCACTGGGATCTCAGAAATGGTAAGAGGTCCGAAATCGCTTGAATGGGGACAAAGTTGCGTATTTAGGTAACTAACAGAATGCCGCTTACAAAGTTTCAAAACCTAAAGTACTTCTCAAAGTCGTTTTAGTTTTTTCCTGACTTTATTTGTAGTGGGAACTAAATTACACATTAATATTGTCACTTTTTCTCCTCAACAAGAAGGCATAATTAGAATTTTAGTATGACGTTTTATTTCTTTTCCTCCAGCATTTTTTCTCAAGAACGCCATATTGAATTTTTTTTTATTCTGATTCCAAAATGTGATATATCTCTTAGAATTACATTGGACATCCCCTTTTCTTCCACTGCAGCTCTGGTAAAATATGCTATGACATATCACATGTACGCTCAGTCCGGTCCTGGATTATTTTGTATACACAATACAAAAACTCCAAGTGATAAAACCAGATTGCATAGAAATATTCTGGTTTTTTATATAGGACACTTTTTACTATAGTTCTATTAGTGTAATAAAACACCATAAAGTAAAAAGTTTAATTTCAACTCTCAGACTTTTCACGATTGCACATTTAAAAACGCGTGCAAAATCGAGGATATTCATCCGACGACGGTTCTACTTCAAACTAGAATAGAAGATAAGGAAATGTTTGTCACCGAAATATGCAACTTTGCCTCCCTCTTAGGTGACCTCTTACCGCTTACCATTTCTGAGATCCCAACAGTTACAGTCGAATTTGAAACAGACATCTTTAACCCACATTTTTACTGATAGTGTAAAATATGAGGCCCCAACATATTCAAACGTTGAAAAAATACTTAGTGGGGTCAAGGCAATCAAGAATGCTGATTTTAAATATTATAGAAAATAGCAGTTCCCAACCGAGCACTCTGTGCATCCCTACAAATTAAAGATCAATACAGGTAATGTTAGTGGTGAAGTAGTCCTCAATCTGTACTTACTTTCTTTGTAACCATGGTTGAATAGATTTGTACTGCTTGTAAAAGTTGTTCATATCAGGAACCAAATCTTTCACAACATACATATGGGGCAATGGGTAGATCTTTACATTCTTTCCTTCTCTAGTGTCAATTTTGCTAAAAATTGTACGTTTATGCATATGTGTGTTATGTGTGTACTAAATAATTATTAATAAAAAAATCATGTACTATATTTACAAACTTAGCTTACAAAGCTTGCTTTGTTCAAACATGACATTTAACACTTTCCCAAATTTTATTTTAGGCATAGCATAACAGTCAGACACATATAGAATAATAGTTAAAAATGATAATCATACCTGATACAAGCCAAGGTATTCACTCCACCAATATTCATAGCACATGAGCCACAAATACCCTCGCGACAGGACCTCCTGAAGGTCAAAGTAGGATCCATTTCATTCTTAATTTTGATGAGAGCATCCAGCACCATGGGACCACAGGCATTGAGGTCCACTTGATACTCCTGCATTGTGGGTTTCTTGTCGGGTTCATCAGGGTTCCAACGGTATATGGCAAATGTCTTCATGCGTGGGGCTTTCTCACCAGCGGCTGCATTGACTGCAGCTGTAAGGTGCAAACCTCGAATCTAAAACGGTTTTAATCGTGGAATAATTTTCATTATGTAACGTATTACGATGTGAAAATACTTACCTGGCCGAAAGTTCCCTTGCAGAGCTTCAGAAGCCGCATTTCTTTGGACATTGTAAACGCAATTGGATGACTTTTCTCAGTTTCTACCAAATAAGTACTTGTTTTTTGAAATCACAGCTGTAAGTGTTGTGGGAACAAAATTGACCGAATTCTTGTCCTGTCACAGATATAACCTATATGATTTCCGACACTTGCGCAACGCCAAATTGACATGGAACTAGAACACTATCGACACGACACAGGACCATAGAGGTTGGATGTACTATATAGAACACTATCTAATCTTGAGAACTAAAATAAAACTGAAAAAACTAGGAACATTAACCGAAAGATAACCTTAACACAAAACTATCCGAGTGGAACAAACGCGAACTGGTGAAATATACTCTACCAGGCTAATAAGATACAGTGAAATCACATTTGATCCGAAAGCAGCGTTTCCTTCACTCGGATAAGATAACATGGTCACGCTAGATAACGGTTGAAATGTATTCTACTAGACTCTAGGAGACTTTCCGTAGCGAAATTTTTGCCGAAATCGTTCCACAACTACCAATGGAGATATATCAAATTTGAGCCGTAGCAATGTTTGCCAAAAAACTAAAAAAAAGCTGTTATTACATTTTGCGTCACCTGGCGTCTATGCGGTGGAACGTTAATGTCTCTGAACATTTTTTAAATGCCCACTTTTATACGACAAAATACTTTTTGAATACGGAACTTCCTTCAACAATTGGAAAAAATCATGTTTTATTATATAAATATATTAACTATTTGATCTAAAATTACATGATATGAGAAGTACGATTTTCATTTTACTCTACTATTTATAGTATCCGTCTTATACGCAGAGATATTAGACATTCATTTTGAGGAAGCTAAAAATGGTCAGCTTGATAACTTGAATCCAACTTATAACTCGTCGATCATGTGGAACGCATCACATCCCTTCTCTTGTTGGACATTTGGTGCCCACGTATGCTCTACCAACCAAGGTAAGACATTGTAGTTTTTAGTCTTTAGTAAACATAGTGCCAAAGGCTTAGTGCCAAAGCACGATACTCTCAATTATATATCACCACTATCACCAATTCCTTGGACTAAAAATAGCATTTTGTTGGAGGCTTTGATAATAGTTTTGAGATTTTTCAGAAATGAATGTAAGTATATGATAATACTTACAAGAACGTTAGATTAGTGCAAGTTTCTGTGAACTTCTTTTTATAATGATGTATTACAGGGTGGCCAAGATAAGGATTAGACTAGGTTAAATTCAGTAATCACACAATCTTACATCAAGCATTCGTTTGCAACGCCTAGTTAAATAAAATGAAAAAAAAACGTTTGTTTATAACTTAAAAAAGCAAATGTAACTTGATACATCGTTGAAGTCGTAGAAAAAGATGCTACTAAATACAGGGTCGCATTTTTTTAAATGTTGTGCACTTCGGGCACATTTAAAAACACCATCATGTAGTGCCATTAGTTTTTCACATTTCTTAAGTCAGACAAAAATAAAAACGATTTGGCCAAATTTTAGTTTTTCCCAAATACCCCAGAATATGACTAATCTCTCAGTGTATGCAATTTATTTAAAAAAGATAGGACGTCAACCTTAACACACAAGTAGATGAGTATGCAAGGATCACCTAGTTTGCAGTACATGTATCCTGTTTCCCTCAGAAGAGTTGGAAGTAGACCTAATTTCCCCTTTGGAGACACTTGACACCCTCTACACAACACTAAAACACCACTGAGAGACAATCGAGAACCCTATAGTGAACACCACTTCTAAAAAAAATAACTTTACCAAATAGAGCTCTGCACGGAGCTGTGAACGCGTGGACATTCCGTTGTGCCGACGGTTGCCGAGAGACTGAAGCGTGTGAATCCTGTACCTCGCTGCGGCGATACGGTACGGCTGGGTAGTACAGTCACACCCCTTTCCAGCTCCCACTCCGCGAGTCTGCTCCCGGTCAACGTAAACATAGAGTCGCTTCGTGATACTGTTAGATAAGAAAACCAAAAAAACAACATTTTTACTACGATCTTGGTAGTATCTGGATATTTACATTGCCCGGGAGCAGACGCGCGGAGTGGGAGCTGGAAAGGGGCGTGGCCGTACCGTATCGCCACAGCGAGGTACAGCACTCGCATGCTTCAGTCTCTCGGCAACCGTCGTCACAGCGGAATGTCTACACGTTCACAGCTGTGTGTAGAGCTCTATTCGGTTTACCTAATCTTTTTCAGTAGTGTTTTCGATTGTGTCTCAGTGGGGTGTCAAGTGCCTCCAAAGTGGAAATTAGGTCTACTTCCAAAATTCTTCTGAGGGAAACAGGATATCTGTGCGGCAAACTCGGTGAGCCTTGCATACTCATCTACTTGAGTGTTAGGGTTGACATCCTATGTTTTTTAAATAAATGAGAATTTTAATAACGTTGTATAGTAGACGACAACGATATTGTATTGCGAGCAACAATTAATCTTGGCAGAGGTTTTCCTCGCCCAAGTGCGAATACAGTTACTAAAAACCATATTTCCCTAATAAAGAGTAGAGAAAATGAAAATCGTACTTCTCCTATTAATGATCATGTAATTTTAGATCAAATAGTTATTTATATAATAAGACATTGTTTTTTCCCATTGTTGGAAGGAGTCCTGTATTCAAAAAGTATTTTATCCTATAATACTGGGGATTTATAAAAATGCTCAGAGACATTAACGTTCCGCCAGGAGACGCAAAATGTAAATGACAGCTTTTTCTTAGTTTTTTGGCAAACATTGCTACGCCTCAAATTTTATATATCTCCATTGGAATCCCTCAATATTTTATCGAAAGCTTCTTTTTTTTACCATTCTAGCAAAATTGTCCGATGAGCTGGCAACGCCGCAATCTAGGTCATTTAGTACGTCAAAGCGGCAGTTTTCCAATCTTCCTTTGCATTTTTCAAGCGGTGTGCAACGATTTCGAGAAAAATTTCGCTACGGATAGCCTTCTAGAGTCTAGTAGAGTATATTTCAATAGTTGTTTTGCGTGGCATTGCTTTCTTTACTCGGACACAGGTTTTTGGAGTTATCCTAATGCGGGTCTCACACGATGCCTCCAACGTTGTTTACAATGTTCGACACCCCACAATTGGCAAGTGTGTCTCCTACTCGATGGGATAAACTTTTTAGCCTCGGTCGTTCGACGCATGGTGGTGCCAACGTCTATTGTCGGTGTCGCGCTTGAACCTTCAGAACTGAAGGAAAGATTATACAAAATAAACGATGAAACAATTTTTTCGAGCGCCGAAAAATAATTTCAGATCTGTCCTCAGCGATCAAGACTTGAGTCTGCCAGAAGCCTCAAAAATGTCGAAAAACGAAGTTTGACCGTTTGTTGTTTGTTTTCGACGCCACTGCACCGATTTTCAAAAACTGCAGAGCTTTTTCATTTACATAGTAGTAACCTAGGGTCAACATTTCGTCAAAATCGTGATAGTACTTTCAGAGTTATCATTTCTTTAATCTTTTTCGTTAGTTCTGAAATGCAAGTCAATATATTTCTCAACTATTCTTGTATTGCAACAGGACATTATAATAAAACAACTGTAAGCACTTGATAATTTACTAAAATACATATCCTTAGGTCAGCCATATTCCACCTGCGAAACTTACAAAAGCAATATGAAAGAAGTGCTGTTATGACAGCCTATGTTTTGTATGTATACTAATTTAATTCATTATTCTCAAAAGTTAGTTACGGAACCTACATTATTATGAATTGGTAGGTTTTCAAATCAAAATACTTCCCACATACCACTACTTCACCACAATCGCAGCAAAATAAATAAATAATGTTTGTCACCGCTGACCTAAAACCATCAAACACATGACATCTCGTGTGGGAGCGTACCGAACCAAGGTCCCAACTTTTTAACGTTCTTTGACGCGGGTCAAATTTACCAACAAGAGCCCGAACGTGCCATGTGGCGAACGTTGGACACATGCAATCCATCAGCGCTCTCCCACAAGATGTGGCGAATTGCCATGTGTCCAACGTGGGAGCGATTTGAACTGTACGAGAAGTTACCAGAATTTTTTTGGTTTGCAGGATAATCTTGTATGAAATGGCAATGCTGGTCAAACGTCACCAGTACGAAAAATACAAAATGTCACTGTCACAGTAACCTAACCAAACTTTTTGATTGTTTTAACATGTTAAAGACTTTGGAAGGATGTGAAAAATACATTAATAAACATGTCCCAGGTCGAAAATGACCTTTAGCAATGAAAGATTAGCCATATTATACGGTTCTCAAACAGGGAATGCCCAAGATTTAGCAGAGCGAATTTGGAGGGAGTCTAAACGATTTTACTTTAAAGCTGTCCTAAGAGCACTAGACGAATATAATGTCTTGGATCTAGTTAATGAAAAATGTGTGATATTTATTTGCTCTACCACTGGACAGGGTGAAGAGCCAGACAACATGAAGACCTTTTGGAAATTCCTGTTACGGAAAAGTTTACCTAGTGGTGTACTCAGTAATTTGAGGTAAATATGGTTTATATCAATACTATTGTCTATTCAGTTCAGTTTTCATTCAGAAAATTTGTGTCAAAATGATAGTGAAATACACACAAAGGTCAAAGTACATAAGGCAATCAGTTTAAATAGAAATTCAGTGTTATATAACAGTGGTTTCAAGGTGGATCCAGAGGAACAAGTACCATCTGCACATTTTTTGAACTTTGCCCGAGTTTCCCACTTGTGGATCCGCCACTGATTGGTTTCATAGCTGCCATTAAGGGGCAGTTACACACAGTCATTTTAAAATATAACAAACAAGTTTTGCAATGTATTTGCACATTAGTGATGTTTTTGAAGATATATTCATTTACCAAAATTTAGTGAAAATAAGACCTTTTGAGTTGAAAAAATAGCAAGCTTTTTCTTAATGTCAAGTGAACCAATAATTGTCTCATCAGGGTGGCAGTATTTGGTCTAGGTGACTCTAGTTATACCAAATTTAACTTTGCTGCTAAAAGATTGTATAAACGATTGCTTAATTTGGGAGCAACAGCAATTGTTGAATTGGGTTTGGGAGATGATCAGCATGATTTGGGTTATGATGCTGCCGCAGATCCATGGATGGCAAATGTATGGAAAGAGTTGCTGCTTCTTTATCCATTACCAAGTGGAGTACAACCTCTTCCAAAGGATTACGTTTTCAGACCAAGGTTTGTTTTACAATAATATGGTAAATATAATAACTTTTTTTTTTCATATTCCAACTACCACGAAGGCCTAAAGCCTAAACACCCATTGGGTACCGTGGGGCTATAAGGGGATACAGGGGAAAGGGCAATTTTTTCAAGATATAGCATTGCTTTACAACAGAATACCCTCAAAGGTTGTTCTTATTTGGACACATTTTGATTAATATTTAAAATATTCTAGGTGGAAAGTTTCAGCAACTGCATTAGATGTGGATGTTAATAGGCAAAATTCTATTTATTACTGTGTTAAAACTGGTAATGAGTTTGACTCCACGGTTCTGGAAAATAAACGATTGACAGATGCTAGTCATTTTCAGGTAATTGAATCAGTCAACTCTTTTGAATTGAATACATCAAAACAATTTTGATATTCATTTGAAACCAATACACTGTCTGAACAGTACTTCAATTAACAGGCAGGAAAGATCAAGTAATAACAAAATATTGTAGATGGTATGCTCATTTTTGGTGGAATTGAAAAGGTCAAGTTCAATAACACTCACAGATGAGGGCACATAATATAAGGTGTCCAAAATAACATTAAAATGGTTTGTGGAAAAGGCAAACATAGGGACATCATTTTTAAGAAGAAAGCTCCATTCATCAAATTTCACAAAAAGTTTGAGGCTGACAAACTTCTACATTTGACTAAATTAGACAGAATGTACCTCTCTGGAGCATGTCAACATGCTTCAAGGGTATCCTCAATCCTTAACTATAGGTATTTTACAAAATCTCATTGGACTCTCTCAGTGTTATTACGATGTATATGTTAAGGGAGATCAGAAAATATCAGCAAAAATGATTTTTACAGGATGTAAGATTGATAAGATTCAACACTGATGGCAAACATTACAACCCAGGTGATATCCTAGCTTTAAGACCTAAAAACCTTCAATGGATAGTGGATGAATTCATGGATGTTCTTTCATCAAATGGAGTGGATATCCCTCCAGATTCTGTTTTTACTTTACAACAGAATGATCCTGATGTTCCTATTCCAGATGTTCTCAGGTAATAATAAATTCAAAAATCAGTGTTATGAAACCTCATTTGTACCTGTTTCGAAAATGTATCAGAGTTGCTACACAAAAGGCCAGTACTACTAGAGTAGATGAATGTCAAATAATAGACATATGGGTATGTCTAGCTAATAGTGGCAACTACGAAGGGTGGTATGGCAGCTCAAGTCGAGCAAAAATCATTTTATTTTTGCGTTTTTTTGGCTATGGCCAATTTTTATATAATTCAGATTATCCTCCACAGGTATAAAGTGACATTCAGTCAGCTTTGCCTCGAATACTTTGACTTGCTAAGCATCCCAAGACGCCAAACTTTCCAAGTTCTAGCCCAATTAACCGATAGTGAACTGGAAAAAGAGAAATGTCTAGAATTCACTACTGCCGAAGGTCAGGAAGAGCTTTTCTCGTACGTCAACAGACCCAGAAGAAACATTGTTGAAGTGCTAAGGGATTTCCCTAATGCTACAAAAAACCTGACAACAGATGTGCTGTTTGAAATACTTCCACCGATCAAACCCAGAGAGTTTTCTATTGCTAGCAGTTTTAAGTTGAGTCCTAATGAAATACACATACTGGTAGCTGTAGTTAGGTTCAAGACCAAATTGGCAAAAGAGAGGGTTGGACTGTGTTCGAATTTTTTAGCTGATTTGAAGAAGCACGATAGAGCGTCGGTTTGGATCAATAAAGGTTCTTTTAAGTTTCCATCAGATTTGGTGAGTTTAATTCACGGGTATTCTGTAAGGTAGTCCTTAGGTATGATCAAAATTTATAGGAATGCCTGGAATTTTTATGTTTGAGGCATTGAGTGGATTCAGCAAAGGCTATGGTTACTATGGATGCGAATTCTGACGGAATTTTGTTTTGACGGGTTCTGACTAATTCGTTTAAATAAACAAACACATGCTTTCCTATGAGCTATGCTTAAATTGGCAGCGACCAGTACGTCAGGGTATTCACGACATCGTCAGAACCATTTGAGCGCCCAAACAATTTTGTACACCGAGAAACAAAAATTATCACTGATAACCTTAGAATCTCTCCTTTGTCATCTCTAGTAGAATATATAAGATTTGCTTGCTGTTTTTTTTTTTAACAACAGCAATTTCAGTAAAGAACTTTCATGAAAATGAAATTCAACTTCGTGTTTATTTGCTGAACAGCGGAAACCTACTCACTACCAAAATATCAGACAATGCACAGTGTAACCGCCCTGTGCTGACGAGGGTCTCGGGCATACTGTTCAGAACTAAATTTCGTCCGAATTCGCATCCATAGTAACTGTAGCTGAAAGCGGTCCATCAATGTAGCTCTTTTATACTGAATAGCAGTAGCCATGGAATAGCTTTGTCATTTAAGTAAACTATCACAACTAACAGGCAAGTGAAAGCTGCTGTCAAATTAATAAAAGCTATCCCATGGCTCTTGCTATTTAACATAAAAGCGCTGCACTGCTGTTGTTGTTTGCTGACACGATCATTTCCCTTATCTGCTCAGAAAATCCAAGCTTGCTATCAAAAATCACACCAAGATAATTGCTTACTAACCTATTACAAGTTTTTTACTTTTTAGCATATGACGAGAAAGAATGGACATGTTGACAATTGTTTTATGATTTTAGGATACACCTGTTATAATGGTTGGCCCTGGAACTGGAGTAGCTACTTTTAGGAGTTACATACTAGAGAGGATTTCTGAGGGTACAGCTACAAAAGACAACTTGATACTGTTCTATGGTTGCAGATATAGGAATATGGACTTCCTGTGTGGCCAGGATTTTGAGGAATTAGCTGAGGCCCATAAAATGACTTTTGTAACTGCATTTTCTAGGGAACAGGATGAAAAAGTGTAGGTTCACTTGTTTGTTGCTATTATGAAATTGCCTTTCCGTGCGGAGACAACAATAGGAGTCCATGACGGTCATCATTATTAGGTGTTCAGATCTATGTTACATCAACAAGAGGCATGTGCTCTGTGCATTTTATTGCCTTTTCATACCTTTTTAAACCTGAACTTGAACCTTTACTAGTGAAATTGGCAGATTTACTGCATAAGTGCTTTGTCACTAGGCCGACTGGGTCGCTGTCTCCACGCGGGATGCCTTGGACAAACATGTAGGACATATCTACTGTCCTACAAGACATAATACAAAGGTCCTATGAACCGCCTTGACAAGCCAGTGATTTACGTTCACTTGCATTTATATGCTGAGAGTTAGTGCTGCGTGAAGTATGTTGCTGAATATTACTCATTATTGAGTGAATCTGCTGACAACTAGCACAGCTCAGTATAACTTGATTGAACGAAGACTAGAGATAGGAGGTTAAACTAGGTAAGGGATACATGTATTCGTATGAAGCCAATCCTGTCGCCAAGCGTAAATATAGTGCAAGTAGAACATGGCGCAGAGCGTCTACGCATTGATGAATGTCAACATAACCTGTCGCAATTCTTTATGTGTATTCCATGCGTTGTTGGTTTAGTACTTCGTGGCTTATAAACATTATCCAATATTTCTGGTTGCAAGTCGTCCGAACTGTCAAAATTGGAGTTGTTTACAGTCGTGATGACAGCAACAGAGAGATGCACCTGGAATTCATTTTCTGCGCATTGTACCAAATCACTTCATCGTGGACATTTTTAGCTTCACCCCCACTCCATGAGTTTAACCTCCTATCTGTAGTCTTCATACTTGTTTCACATGTATCAATTTTGTCAGTCAATCTGAAGGTTTTCAAAATTTTCAAACCGATCCATTCAGATGACATCTAGCAGACTAGATTAACCCACACTTCATGCAGCAATAACTCTTATCAGTTAAGAGCAACTGAACGTAATAATTGACGAAATAGGCTTCGATATGCACGAAAGAAATCGAAAATTTTACCGATAATCGTTTTTGCAGATATGTACAACATAAAATAATAGAACATAAGGAGATAGTTTGGAAAGCATTACAAAAGAAAGCATATGTATACGTGGCAGGGAACTCAAAAAATATGCCTCAAAGTGTCAGGGAAGCTTTCACAGAAGTATGTATAGATATTGGTGGGATGACAAAAGAGAAAGCTGTGCATTTCATGGATATCATGGACAAAACTGGACGATACCAAACAGAATGTTGGTCATGATGCCTATAAATTTTATTTATTATATGTAGAGATTGTGCTGAATATATCCAATTTTTGTTATTGCTGAATTATTACTACTATACCTGTTGTGCTAGTGTAGGTATATCGTACAAGTGCAATTCACGAAATTATCGAGCATTTCATGAAACTGGCCAACTATATTTGACCATATCGTCAATTCGCCAGCATTTAACGATTCGGTCATCCAGTATTGACTATATCGTAAAATAGGATGTCCACAAAAGTAAATAGTACTCGAGTACACCTTTTATGTCATAAACTCTTTTAGTCTGTGTCTAATTTTCACTTTTATTATATACATTCATAAATAATCAAAATACCCTTTCTACCTGAAGATGCAGGATTTGTTACAACATTTCCTCTTGTCTGGGGCTGGCCTTCCTCTTTCTCTGTTTTGTTGGCTTCTTGCTTCTCATATTACTTTCCTATTAACAGTCGCCATATTGACACGTGAACAACGCTATCTCAGAAGCTTTGTCGGTAACTAATGTGATTAATTTATGATTTGATCAAATAAGCTCGACCATTTCATGAAGTAGTCGCGTTTTTAGTTCATCATATCAATAAACAATTTGTTATCATTGATGTGGTCAATGCACATCATGATTCTATCTCATGAAAAGCGACCATCTAATATTCTGGTTGTGAAAGTTTAAAAAATATATTACTTGCTCTTTTGTTCTGACGCTGTTGAAATAAAAACAACAATATTCAATTCAATTCAATTCAATGGACTTTATTGTAACACATACATAATTATGTATCCTTACAAATGGCGAAGTCTGGCCAATGACCATTTATACTTAACCATAAATGTCATGTCAATGCTTATTACTACCTTAAAAATAAAATAAAAAACTGAAAAAGAAAAGGAAAAAGAAGAATAATAGTAAAAGAAGAATTAATAAATATGACATAATGCGTACGATTAGAACAAAAAACATAATACGTACGATTCAAAGAGAAGGCAATAACGTAAGAGCTCAATAAGTAGTTCTTATATTTTTTTTTTAGAAAAGTTGCTGATGAAACATTGTTCGAAAGAGTTGATCAATTTCACCGCATTATACGTAAAAGACCGCTGAAAAATGGCTGTCCTATGTTGTGGCATTGTCAGGAGATTAATGTTGCGCGTATTCAAATTGTGAATTAAATTCCTACGAACAAGCTTTTGCATAAGATAAACCGGAACAGAAGTTTTTAATATTTTTACGACGAATGTAACAAAGTTGTATTTGAAAAGATCAGAAATTTTCAACCAATTCATTGAAGATATTGAGTGAGAAGCATGATCGTACCTTCTTAAATTGTTTATGTAACGACTACATGAGTTTTGAATTTTTTGCAGTCTGTATTTTGTGATTTCATCCAGACAGGGAAAATAAACTATGTTGCAGTAAGCGATTTTACCGAGTATGAGTGACTCGCATAACATTTTCTTAATTTTTCTATTTAAAACTGTTTTACTTGCATATAGAAGCCTGAGTCTAAAATAACTAGACTTACACACATAGCTAACATGCTCCTGAAATCTGAAATCTTCATCCAAGTACAAACCTAAATTTTTTGCAGAATGGAAAATATTAGGATACTATTATTTAGTGATAAATTTAACTTTGATTTGAGGAAAGTACGTTTTTTCTTGGAGCAAAAAAGTATAGCTGTCGATTTCGATGCGTTTAGACGTAAATTATGTTTTGCAGCATATGTGCATAAGTATTGCAGATCTTGATTGATAAGGTTGTTAGCTAAATTGTAGTTGTTCGGACAGAAATTATGAAAAACCTGCATATCATCAGCATATGATTGACTAGAACAATGTTGAAGGGTGTTAGAAATGTCAAAGGTGTATATAAGGAATAAAAGTGGACCTAATATGGATCCCTGAGGCACGCCGGAACAAATCGGACTTTTGTCTGAAAGTTTATTTTGTATGACGACATATTGATGTCGTTCATTTAAACAGCAATCTATCCATTCCAGAACCAAGTCGTCACACCCAATGTATTTACATTTAGAAACTAACAGCTTATGATTCAGGGTGTCAAAGGCCTTGCTGAAATCCAATAAGACTAATGCAGTTGCTTCTTGCCTATCCGCCGCTGTTAGTACATCGCATCGTCACAAACCCGTGCCAAAGCGGTAGTGGTACTGTGACCCTTTCTAAAGCCTGATTGATTTAATGGCAAAATACTGCGTTCGAGTAAATACTCATTCAACTGCATATAAACTATTTTTTCTAGAATTTTTGATAGAGCTGACAGCAAGCTAATAGGTCGGAGATTACCAGGAACCTGGGGATTGGGAATCTTTGGAAGAGGTTGCACTAATGCTTCCTTCCAAGCACTTGGAAAAACACCGCGCTCTAAACAATTTATTAAGTGCAAAATGTATATTCCTACAGCAGGTAGACACAATTTAATCATCTCAATGGTAATGCCATCAATACCACTAGAATTGGACTTGATACTGCGAATAGCATCCAATACTGTAGATATATCGACAAGACGGAACTGAAAATGAAAATCTTGGTTTAATTTGTTATGGCTATAAAATTCGATAGTTTCCGAGCAATCATCGTCACTTTTCTGCAATATACTGGTAAAATAGTTATTTATTTCATTGGGAACTGCTAAATCATCTGGAATGTCAGTATTACTAGAATCCTGAATTCTAAATGACTTAAGAGCTTTATAAAGAGCTGCAGAGTTTCTTTGTCGAGATAGATATTGAAGGTAGCCTGATTTCTCTGCACGTGTAGCAGTTTTTGTAAAATTTCTCAGTTCATTGTAATGATTTCGATTATCAATGTTAATTTCCCACAATTTTCATAGCTTTATATCACATAATTAGATATTCAATTTATTTGATATCATATAATTAATAACGCAAGATAGCACTCTCGTAATTAGTTTGGTCCATGTCGGATATTCATTAATGACTTCTAAATTATTCAAAATCTCTGAAATCGAATATTTATTAATCTGGTGTAAATTATAGATATGTAAAAACTAATCGACAGCCCCTCGTATATAATGTCTTCCTCTTGAATGTGTCGTGCAGTGTTGCCAACTCTCGCAGATGAATTCTTTATAGCACAGTGTAAATAGACTCGGCAAGGGAAACGACTACCGATTTGCATGCATTTTGGAAGAAGCCTCGAATATTTCTATCTAGCTAATGGTACTACATTCTTAAAAATAGGTGTAGTATCAACGGAATTATGAGCGAAAGCAAAGAATATCAAAACATTTCAAAACTTGTTTTTTCTTGCTGATCATTTTTGGGTAGAATAATATATTCTTCTGAAGTCGACATTTTCTAAAAAGGCACCTAGTTTTTTCAATTACTGTATGGCGCTAAAAAATGTTCAAATTCAACTTATAGTACCTATAGGTCTGTTCAAGGCTTTTTGGCGGTTACGTGAATAAGCAAACCAGAGTGACTAAAATGGTATCATGTACCCTAAGCGGAATTACACACTGTACAAGCCCATCCGTAACGCCAGAAACCGTGGAAAGACCTACATCACAGCCTTATTCAACGCTGGATCTCCCTCGAGTTTTACTCGGGGCTCAAAAACTACCCCTATGGGGAGTGAAAAATGAGTTTCTTACGTCAGTTGCTGGAGCATAGCATTCTCATGTACTTTTTGACGCTGAAAACGAATTTGAGGTCAAAAAAATTCTTACACTTCCGGTACCAAAAAAGCACCCCTAAAGTGGGGTGGAAAATTGATATTCGAATGCTGGATGCTGTGAAGTCGGTTCAGACGCACACACACTGGCACACCTAATGTTGTGCAACTTTTAAAAAATGTCGGTTCCGTGACTTACTATACAGAATTTCACGTATGTTATGGCCCAACCCTAGTCTTGTCAGGACCAGCGAGGCTCTACGGTTCAGCAGGAAAAAATGCATCACACTGCCTAAATACGCGATTTAGCATCAATCACTAGAAACTCACTCACCGTCATTATCGAGTAGTTTTGACGCCGGGGGTGCATTCGAGGGAGGTGGATCTTTTTATCTCAAATTTCGATTCAGCATTGAAAAATACTTGGGACTACTGTGGTTGAGTATCTGGGATCCGAAATTCAATTCTCCACTCCTTTATATAGTAGCAGTTTTTGATCCCGAGGGTGAATTTTAGGGATGTAAAAATTTCGTTGACCTCAAATTTGGATTCTGCGTCGAAAAGTACATGGAAATATCATGTTCCAGCATCTGGCATCCGAAACGCCCGGGCGTGAATTATAGACGTTCAGGAACTTTTCTGATCCTGGATTCGGTTCAGCGTCGAAGAATGCATAGCAATATCACGGTTGTCTCACGGATCTCGATCTTTATCTTTTTGTATGGCTGTGTTTCCAGTGTATATCTAAAATGCAAATCTGATGAAGAAACATGCGTGTAATTTTTTTATAATTTTAATTAATAACAAGCACAAGAATGGCTACAAGTAAACTTACTCACCACATCCCAAACATTAACCATCACTGTAAAAATCCATTAATGATGCTTTACTAGCGATAATAAATTAAGTGGGCTTTATTTTAGGCAATACCCTAAAACGACTAGAATAAGTTGCAACATGAGTTTAGGGTTTATTATATAACCCCATTAGAAATGTCAAAAAGTAGGTTTTCGTTTTTTGACTAACTTCGCCGCTACAGGACTCATACTTCGAAACCAACAAAAAGTACTTTGGTCCTTGTCATAGTACTAACCACAGATTATTAGCTGGTATTGTGTCAAATTTCATCGAAATCCGAGTGATATTTTCCAGTTTATGGAAGTAGTCAAGCCGTCTCCAACAGACAGGGACAAAATAAGAGTTATTGACCTTTTTTCACATAAGAAAAGTCATTATACGATTTTTTCTGGATTATAGCACTTAATCGTTCAAATAAACATACCAGATAATCAGTGTCTAACAAAAAATAGTTATGTTCTTCCGATATAAGGGACGAGAATGGTTCAGAAACACCAAGTCAACCTACTTCAATTTCAAGGAAGTATCAGAAACAGGGATATAC